AAGAGGCTGAACAGGGTGGCGGAGGGGAGGGGGGATATAAAAGTACGACTGGGGGGGGTGGGCTGAGCAGGTGGAAGAAGCAGAGATGGAGGAGGAGGAGGAGGAGGAGGACGACTGTGGGGCGGGGGGGCAAAAATTTGCCCCCAAAAGAAGAAATAAGGCGCAAAGCGTAGGCAGTGAAGCCAAGACCAGCAGGGCGGGGAGGACACGCAGACTGGTCGGGGACCGAGGCCGTCAGAGGACAGCGACAGTGAGGAGGGCTTGTCGGACTGCAGCGATGCCCCGACGGGGTTTTTAAGTAACAGCCAACAACAAAAAATGTACGGTGCTGAGAAAATAAGTATGTTTTTAAAGAAAACAAAAGGGAAAAAGGGGGTAAAGGTCAGATTTCTTCCCCCATCTTAACTTGTTTTATATTTCTGCCAGACACCACATGAGCCGGAGGGAAGAGTCCGGCCTCACTGAGCAGGAGGGCTACAGACTAAAGAAGCTGCTATAGGGAAAGTACGCAGAGCAATCAACAAGGGCAATGTCCAAATCTCCAATGTGGGTTTTTATTAGTTTATTGGTTTTTATTTTTGGTGCAAACTTACTCACAATGAATTCTTTTAAAGTGGGGAGTTTAAACGTGAACGGAGCCAGAGATGAGAAGAAGAGAGCATCTATTTATGAATTTAAAAAATTGAAGTGTATTGATGTTCTCTTCTTACAAGAAACTCACAGCGACAGCACCAACGAGGCCGACTGGAGGAGGGAAGTCCTGCTGAGCCACAACACCAACCTCAGTGGAGGAGTGGGCTTCCTCTTCTCCAGGTCCTTTAATCCACTGTCACTGGAGGTCAAACACATCATCGAGGGGAGGTTGTTCTTAGTCAAGGCACGGTTCGACCTTTTTACTGTTGTTTTTATCAATGTGCTCCAACAATCGGTGCAGAGAGGAAGCTGTTTTTACAAAAAATTGATAATGTTTTAAATGGCTGTGCCCCGGAGGATTTTTTATTTTTGGGGGGGGATTTTAACTGTACGGAAAATGATTTGAAAGACCGTAATCACGCAGAGCCACATCCAGCTTCCCAGCGCGTTCTGAGGCAGCTGGTCCAATCTCATGGTCTGGTGGATGTGTGGAGAAGGATGCATGCAGACTGCCGACAGTACACGTGGTCCCTTTTTAGAGAAGGTAGGATCTCCTCAGCCAGGTTAGATCGTTTTTATGTTTTTAAGCAACATTTTAATATTTTTAAGATGTGCAGTATTGTCCCTGCTGTTTTTACTGATCATTCTTTGCTTTTATGTAATGTTTTTATTGGAAACGTTTTACCTAGAAGTGCATATTGGCATTTTAACTCTGTATTAACTAGTGATAAAAATTTTAGAGAGGTCTTTGTATACTTCTGGGGTGTTTTTAGGCTGAGGAAGAGTGAGTTTAGCAGTCTTAAACAGTGGTGGGACCACGGGAAGATTGAGATTGGGCTCCTCTGTCAACAGCACACCTTCAACGTCACCAGAGACATCGCTAGATCTATGAAGGACCTGGAAACTGAGATAGTGGAACTAGAACATTTAAGCGAGTCCACAGGAGATCGAGGACATTTTGAAGTCCTCAAAGGGAAAAAAAATGGCTCTGGCCGACCTGTTTAACGTTAAAGTCCAGGGTGCACTGGTCAGGTCCCGATTTCAGACCATCACGGAGATGGACACTCCCTCTAGCTTCTTCTTCGGCCTGGAGAAGAAGAGTGGGCAGGGGAGGGTGATCCACTCACTGTTAGGTGACGCAGGGCAGCCGGTTGTGGAACCATGCCAGATTAGGAAGCGAGCTGTGGCTTTCTTCTCCTCCCTATATACCAGTGAGCACGGGGAGGAGGAGGCACTGATGGATGAGCTCTGCAGTGAGCTTCCTCAGGTCCAGGAAGAGACCAACGCAATGCTTGACAGGCCAATAGGCCCAGGGGAGCTAAGGGCCGCCTTGATGGGCATGCAGGGAGGGCGTGCCCCGGGAATTGACGGCCTCTCGGCCGAATTTTACAAGGCGTTCTGGGACATCCTCGGCGATGACATCCTAGAGGTGCTAAATGACAGTCTGGCCTCTGGTTCCATGCCGATGTCCTGCCGCAGGGCAGTAATAACGCTACTGCCAAAAAAGGGAAACCCGCAGGACATCGGCAACTGGCGCCCTGTGTCCCTGCTGTGTGTGGATTACAAGCTCCTGTCCAAGGTCTTTGCCTCCAGGCTGAGGGAAGCTATGGAGCAGGTCATCCATCGGGACCAGACCTACTGTGTGCCCGGCAGGTCCATGGTGGACAATGTCTACCTCATTCGAGATGTTTTGGAGGTCTCCAGCTCATTGGGCAATAACACTGGCCTGATTTCTCTAGACCAGGAAAAGGCTTTTGACCGCGTTGAGCACAGCTTCCTCTGGAAGGTCATGGGGAGGTTTGGGTTCAGCGCTGGTTTCATAGCTAAGATCAAAGTGTTGTACAGGGAGGTTGAGAGTGTGCTGAAGATAAACGGCAGTCTGTGTGCTCCTTTTAGAGTGTATAGAGGAGTCCGGCAGGGTTGTGCTCTGTCCGGGATGCTCTATACACTCTCCCTGGAACCCCTTCTCTGCAAAATACGCTCTAGCCTGGAGGGCCTGGTTTTACCTGGTTTTAGTAGAAGAATGATTTTATCGGCGTATGCCGACGATGTTGTTGTTTTTATTAAAGACCAGAGGGATGCAGACCTTTTAAATAACATCGTGAAAAGTTTTAGTAAGGCATCGGCAGCGAGGGTGAACTGGAAAAAAAGTGAAGCCCTCGCTGTCGGTGAATGGCGTGGCGGCCTCCCAGTTCTTCCCCAAAGCCTAGTGTGGAGGAAAGATGGATTTAAATACCTGGGGATTTATCTGGGACAAGAGAGCATCGTCCAGAAGAACTGGGAGGGCGTCACAGAGAAGATAGAGGGGAAACTTTCCAAATGGAAATGGCTGCTCCCTCAAATGTCTTTTAAAGGTAGAGTTTTGGTTTTAAACAACCTGATTGCATCCCAGCTGTGGCACCGTCTTACCTGCCTGGACCCTCCCTCAGGCTTCCTCGCCAACTTACAGAAGAAAATGGTGGATTTCTTTTGGGGGGGTCTACACTGGGTGCCACAAGGGGTGCTGTTTTTAGCCAGAGAGGAGGGGGGACAGGGCCTCGTCCACCTGGCCAGCCGGACGACCACTTTAGACTCCAGTTTTTACAGAAATATCTCACAGGTTCCGGAGTTTTTAGTATGGAGGGACGTGCCAGCTGCATTTTTAGACGTGCAAACACCTGGGGCCTGGATACTGCTCTGTTTTAAATTGATTCTAATTTTTAAAGTTAAATGGGCTACCTCCGTTTATCAGGGTGTTTTTAAGTCTTGGGCCCTTTTTAATCATAAAAGGTGCCCACAGTCTTTCTCTCTGTACTGGTTGTTGAGAGAACCTTTGATCTACAGAGCGAGGCTGGACATCAGCAGCAGTGGTACCCCAGGCCTGATGGGGGCGCTGCTGAAAGCACGAGTCCTGTGCCTGCAGCAGCTGGTGGACGCAGTGGGGCCGACGCTGAGCGACGCCCCGGCCCTGGGCTCTCTGCTGGGGCTGCACTCCGTCCGGATGGCGAGGAGGCTCCTGGAGCTGTGGAACCAGAGGCTGACTGAGGAGGAAAGGAGCCACCTCACAGACTACAGCCAGAAAGATGTGGAGCCGGACCCTGCAGACCCCTTCCCCGAGATCTACCTGAGCCCAGGACTAGGGGAACTCACCGGCCCCCCGCTCGCCACAACACGCCCCGAAGCGCTGACATTGCACGAAGCAGACAAGAAGACTCTGTATTTTAACTGTGTGAAGGGCATAAACCGGTCCGGACTGTGCGACAGGCTCCCCACTGTGTGGTCCAACAGACTGGGACAAAATGGACCGGGCCCACAGTGGAGGATTTTATACAAGCCTCCCCTCAAGAAACGGACTGCCGACCTCCAGTGGAGAATTTTACACGGTGCTGTCGCCTCCAACGCTTTTATTTCTGTTATTAATCCCACTGTTCTGAGCAAATGCCCCTTCTGTGACCTCCGAGAGACTATTTATCATGTTTTTACAGAGTGCAAGAGACTTGCGAGTTTCTTCTCTCTTTTAACATCGGTTTTTAGTCTTTTTAATGTGGTTTTTACTGAAAAGATTTTTATCATGGGAGCTGCCTACAAGAAAGCAGAAAAAGAAAAGTGGCAGCTCCTCAACTATCTTTCAGGGGAAGCCAAAATGGCCATTTATTTAAGCAGGAAGGCCAGAGTGAAGGACAGAGAGGGGCAGGAGGCCAGGGCAGTGTGGCTGGTGAATATCAGGGCCAGGCTCTGGCTAGAGTTCCGCTTTTATAAACACATTGGAGACGTAGACACTTTTAAACAACGTTGGTGTTTTAATAATATTGTGTGCTCAGTGAAAAAGAATGAATTGGTGTTTGCCCCTGTTTTTATGGCATGAAACGTAATTTTGCTTTGTTTGTTTTTGGTTTGTTTTTTTTGTTTTTTTTGTTTTGTCTTTTTGTTGTTTTGTCTTGGCTTTTTTTAACAAAGGAAGGAAATCTGTGACCTCTTTTTAACACATTGACAAAGTTGTTGAAATATGTAAAATAAATTGTTTTTCTAAAAAATCAAAAAATCTCCCTCTCTCTCTCTCTCTCTCTCTCCCTCTCTCTCTCCCTCCCTCTCTCCCTCTCCCTCCCTCCCTCCCTCCCTCCCTCTCTCTCTCCCTCTCTCCCTCTCTCTCTCTCTCTCTCCCTCTCTCCCTCTCCCTCTCTCTCTCCAGTGAGCAGCATTCATTCTCAATGTCTCGGAAAAGAAAACTACAAAGCCCACAACACTCGGAGCACAAGCCAGATTATTGCACAGCCTGGGGCAAAGCCTCGTGGAACCCTGGGAGTTTGAGTCCAGGCTAAATGGCCGGAGGAGGAGGCAGAGAGAGAAGGAAACGAGGGGGAGACGTGTCATGACAACCGTCAGGGAGAGAGAAAGGTGAGTTTTCTGTTTTTTGTGAATCTCCCTTCCTGGTGTTTCAGCTCTTCTCCCCCTTTAAGTCTCTCTGGTTGGACGTCAGCTTCCTCCCCTCTTCTCCTCCTCTCTGTTTTCTGTGTTCATCTCCGTCATCAATCTCTTTTTCATCCTCCATCTTTTCATGTGTCAAACGTCTTCTTGGCCTGACGGTGCATTTTCCTGTCGTGTGTGTGTGTGTGTGTGTGTGTTAGTCTTTCTCCACCCACGGAGACGTGATGTTTCTCTATGCAGCAAAAAGACACAAGTCACATCATAATATATAATGAAGTACGTCTTGTTAAGACAACACATAAAAAATGAATGGATGTATCAGAAAATGACATAAGAAGACACGAGATGTAACGAGACACTTTTGACGGCCTCTGTGTGGCTCAGTGAGGCCTCTCTGGTCTTGATGGCAGATCTGTCTCTGACTACCCTCATTAGCACATCTTGTTTGGGGTGTATTTAAGTTACAGAGACACACCTTATATTTCAAAAAGATATGTTTGGTTTGTTTGTTAAATGAATCACTTCATCATCATTTACGCTGCTTCATTCCCTCTTTTGTCATTGGCCATTGAGCCAGATTATGACTCACTCAATTAAAGAGACGCACAATGTAAAGAGACACAAAATGTAACAAGATACAAAATGTAAATCTTTGTAAATCCAAAGCAACTTACAATAAGTGCATTCAACCGAGAGGGAACAGAACTAGAAAAACATCAATCAAGAAAGTACAATTTCTTCAAGAAAGCCAAACTACAAAGTAACGGCGACACCCTGACTCCACTCCCTCTACGTCCCCCCGTCCTCTTAAGAATGAAGGAGAAATCCGAGACTGATGTCTAAGGACAGAGACTTGCAGGAAGTGAGACAACCAGACTCAGCTGACCCACAAATAGAAAGTTCCAACTTCAACCGTCGCCTACTATTAAACAGGAGATGGGACTAACTAAATCTTACAAGTAATAAGTAATCACTGTACAAAGTGTGTATTTTAGACACTTGTTTAATTGTTAGTTATTTTAAACACAAACCTACACACATCACGTTGGAGGCAGAATTCCACCTGGTGTAAATGTTGAACCAGCGACTCTTCCTGTCGTCCTCGTGCTCTTTGCTCTCAACTCTCATCATTTAACGGATGTGAAGTGACAACAATGTCCCACGATTAGCAGGACGTTTTCAAACCACCGTCTTTTAGGGACACAGTGGTCCTCTGCAGACTAACGTTAGATGTTGAGATGGAAGCAGCCTAGCAGCTAGCTTAGCATAGCAGTGCTTTAAGTGATCCAGTAGCACAGTGGTAGAAAATTTACAACTTATTTAGGGGGCAATTGTTGCCCCCACTGACTGAAAACCAGGGGCATTTTATAAGACTTTTTTGAAACGTGTGACATTTAACTTATTGGCTTAGTCTATAAGCAGCAACAAGACTATTAGGCAGTAGTGTTTTTCTTAGATTTTAACCAAAACAAACAGGAAACATAGAATCAGTGCACACTGCACTCTGGCTAACGTTAGCTAGCTAGCAAACGCTAGTTAAATAGCTCAAAATAATTCATACTTATTATCAGTGACTTCTTAATGTTTTCGCCGTGCTGGTCGACGCTGTCAGCAAGTTCGAGTCGAGCCTTAAAAACACGTGGGTGGTTCTCTTGTCGTCGTCCTCCACCCAAGCGAATCTATCGATGGGTGAGTGGACGTTTCGAGCCAGAGACGGTGACGTCTCTCCCGCACATACGGGTCCTTTTTCCTTAAAAACGCACACGCAAAATCCATCAAGAATCAAAACATTCTACGGCAACCGAAGCGGCTCATTGCGGCCATGATGCTCTCGTGACTCTCTCTCGTGCCGCGCCCCTGTTTGTTTGTTTGTTTGTTTGTTTGTTGCCTCAGATCGCTCCGTCTTGTAACTGACTGCAGCTCGCGGACGTTTCCGTGGTCAACTTCCCGTTTAAACCGGAAGTAAACAAATACGTTCTGTCCTTTTGTGTGTGTGAGCAGTTTCATCTGAGACATGTCTGAAGACCTGGAGGACACAGGCAGTGTGTTTGGTGAGTCCACACACGCATGTGCACATACATGTGCACATACATGTGTACATACATCTACTATCCGATTCAACCCCCCTCCTTTCTGCTGATTGAGCTTAAGGAGACAAGAATCTATAGGTATTGTAGGATATTAGAAACAAATTGACGATCCGGTTCATAAAATTAATAAAAATGCATATAGTGTAAACTAGAATACAGCCATGATTCTGAAATTGTGTAATCAGTAAAGTAATGACAATATTGTAAAACCAGTGTAATTCTGCAACTGTAATAGAATAATATCAATGTAGTTCTGATTGTATTTGATGTAATGTGATCAACTGGAATGCATGCATGTAATACTTGAACAACCACTGATATTGACTAAGGATCATTCGAAATCCGAGTTACATTGAACTCACCAGAAGACTCCCAGAGGTGTGGACACTAACTTTCACACCTTTAAGCATTGTTATAAATACCTGTAGGAACCATTGTTCTGGAGTTCACTGGTGGAGGCGACAGGGATGGTCAAAGGACTGACCTGGGGCCTGTTGGTCGCTGAGACCAGCAGGCACTAGGGATGGTCAAAGGACTGACCTGGGGCCTGTTGGTCGCTGAGACCAGCAGGCACTAGGGATGGTCAAAGGACTGACCTGGGGCCTGTTGGTCGCTGAGACCAGCAGGCACTAGGGATGGTCAAAGGACTGACCTGGGGCCTGTTGGTCGCTGAGACCAGCAGGCACTAGGGATGGTCAAAGGACTGACCTGGGGCCTGTTGGTCGCTGAGACCAGCAGGCACTAGGGATGGTCAAAGGACTGACCTGGGGCCTGTGGTGGCTGAGACCTGATTTAACCTTTTGATCAGCGATGACCTCTGTCCGTCCGGCCTTTTTTCATTTTTGAACACAACAGTATACATATTAGTTCTGGGCAAACATAATAACTGCAGGATTTTATGTGATTAAAAGCAATGAATCACATGCACAAGATTTAATAATACATTAAAAACTAGTGTATTGCACGCTCTTATATATTTAAGTAATGTCATCAGAACAATATAACAGCTCAGAGCAACAGCAGGTTACTTCAGGCTCGTAGTACTTCAGGCTTATAGTACTTCAGGCTCTTGTACTTCAGGCTCGTAGTACTTTAGGCTCGTAGTACTTCAGGCTCGTAGTACTTTAGGCTCGTAGTACTTCAGGCTCAAGGACAAAAAGGAAAAAGCGTTAAAAGTACAGTAAAAGGTATTAAAACAGAAGAAAATGAGGGTTTATTAGTTAGGTTGGTTGATATGGACACAAAGTTAGTACCTGTTCAAGTTCATTCTTTGTAAAATATTATGTTAGGTTGTTTTTTCTGTTTTGTGAATGGAGAAAAGCAGTCACAGTTTCATCTTTCTCACAATTGGTTTGATTGATATGTTAGATATACATATATGTTCTTATTGAAGAAGAAAATGTCTCAATCAAACCCACCAATATTTGCTGTGAAATGATCCGGTCACGTCGACCTCGCTGTGATCTCATTGGTCAGGTCGATGGTTGAATCAAGCGGTGAAATATCACGGCTCAATCCCCACAATCCTCTCTGTCTCTGTGTCTCAGACCTGAACGAGGTCCCAGAGACGGAGCTGCTGGACAACAGCATCCAGAAGGGCCGCGCCCAGCTGTCCATCAAAGCCCGGAGGCCCCGGCCCTCCATGTCCCGTTACCGTGACAGCGTGAGCTCCACGGAGGGCGACGACAGCATGGAGACAAAGGTGGGTCTTATGGTACGTTAATACAAAAGAGAAGCCATTTATTCACGCGAGAAGATTCCATGCAAAATCAAAATCAATGCACAGACGCAGATTATTGCGGATGAAGCAAATTGTCAACGGGCGGCACAAATCACGTGAAAGACGCGGTGCGAAAGATGCGCAGAGCGAAGAAATAAATTGCCTCATCGAAATATTTCAACTTTGACGCTTTTCTTGCGAAAGCGAATCAGCATTGAGATGCTCCGCTGGTCATCATCTCCATCCTGCTGCCAAAGCTTGAATATATTTCATGGAAAGGAGGCAGATAGACAGGCGCTCTGCAGCTGGGATTGAAGTAAGTTGGTGTCTAACCGAGAGACGGCGGCACCGATCCGAGCCAACAGGTCAAACCAGCCGTCATCCAGGAGGAGTCGGTGAAATACACCCAGACGTTTGTGGCGACAGATGAAGTCATTAACCCAATTTACACAAATACAGAGCAGAAATAGTGGTTTCCACGGTGGACAGCAGGACTGGTAATTGTTTTTTAAGGAGACAAGCCACAGATATAAGCCACGCCCCCTTTCTTGATGAAGGAGACACCAAAGAAGACAAATTAAGTACAACCGGTCGGGGAATAGCGTGAACGCACCATGAGCCACGTCCCTTCAGCTCGTCCAGTTTGATGAGATCACTGTGTGTGTGTCTGCGTCATGAAGACAGTCCGTTACCCTCCATCCGCTCACCTCTCCACGCCGCCATGCAAGGCTCCTCCTCAAGCCCCGCCTTCTCCTTCAACGCCTCCCTGGTGAGACCAATCAGAGCTCTGAGAATGATCCAATCAGACTTCAGACACATTAGCACAGATTTAAAACCAGGCTGCCACCTTTATCCCCTTATCATTAACTTTTTCCTAATAAAAGTGTGTGTTAATACTTCAGATGGTCGTTAAGCTGCAGCTTTTCCACTCACAGGTGCGTCACTCTCCAGTGGACAAAGGTGCTTCATTGGCTGCCCTCCCCAGGGGGCGCTACCATCAGCTGACCAACGCCACCTCTCAGGAGCCCCTGGTGACTCCCAGCAGTTCGCCCTCACGGTACCGCCCCTCCTCCGACTGCTCACGGGTCTACATGAGGAGGAGCAGGAGGCCCGACAGCGAAGGTACACACCTGAAACACTTGAGACACACCAGGGACAAACCTGAGAGACTGTTCATTATCTGCAATAATGTTGTTGAACTCTACTGTGTGTTAGTGTTGGTTTCTGACTCGAGTCGGGACACCAGTCCAGCTGATCCCGACAGTCCGACCGTTGTCTTCGACAAGAAAACCAAGAGATGTTTCCTGGACATTGGGTGAGACAAACATACATACACATAAACACACACACACACACACTGCCTGTTTTGGTGTCACATGACAATTGCCCCGCCCCTTCGGGGGCACTCGGCCCTGGTGGGGAGCTCATAGACATATATAAAGGCTAGATGCCTTGTCTGCCTTGCCAGCCAATGGAGTTGAACGTCCGCACGTGGCGGCCATCTTGCTACAGTCATCTCGCTCACCCATAACATTGTGTTGGTAGTGGTATATGTACTTTTTAAAAACCATAACCATTTTTATATGGTTTGGTTTGTTATAAATGTCAGAGGTGTAGTTATGACACTGCATACTTATGAATAATTATATTTACAACCATATTTTCATACATAAATAAAATTGAACAGAACATTATTCATAAGTATGTTGTGTCATAACTACATCTATGACGTTTATAACAAACCACACCATTTAAAAATCGGTTGTTATCATTATTTAAAGTAGCCTACATGTACCGCTACCAACACAATGTTATGGGTGAGCATGCTGACCGTAGCAAGATGGCCGCCATCTAGCTTTTATATATATATCTATGGGAGAGCTAGCCTAGCTACAGAGTTAAAAACCACCCATAATGCAGTGTCTGTAGGAAACGGTAACAGAGGTGTTTCCAGAGGATCCAGAGGCGCCGGATTCAATTACCTTTGACACATAGTGACTCAGCTGAAGGAGATATCTTTGTTTATTGCAGCTGATCAATCGCATTCTCGTTATCAATAACGTCTCACTCTCTCGCAGGGTGACTCTCAGACGTTCATACATCAGAGTGAGGAAGGATAAATCCAACAGGCTCTCTGTGGGCAGCCGGTGGGTTTTTCAACCATCAACAACAACAAAAAAAGGCCACGTTGTTGGTGTCCTCACTTCTTCTTCTGTCCGCAGAGAGACGTCTGAGAGTCCGCCTCGCTCCTCCGGATCGTTCGTCCCCTTTTCCTGGTTCACTGAGGGACGAGGATCCGCCTCCTCCTTCAGGACTCCCCCCCCTTCTCCTAAGGTCTCCACGACGACCAGAGGCCTGACCCCTCCCAGGTCCCACTCCCAGGTACAAACAACTGGAGTTTAGTTTGTGTGTCCTTAATCGTTACGTCTATTAATAAATAGATCAGTTGTTCAATAACTACTGTGTTGGTCCTTCAGGAGTCGGCTCTCAGTGAAGAGTTCTCTCCTCCTCCTGACTCCTCCTCTTCCTGTCCTCCTGTTGACTCCTCCTCCTCCTCCAGATCATACCACGCGTACCACACACTGTCTCAGTCCTCTGACGAGGTAACACACACAGTGACCACCGTAATATGACTGGCCACAATAGTCGTAGGGTAAAGTTTGTTTGTTAGAAACAAAAGTGAGGCACAGATGGCACAGCAGGGGTCAGTTTGTTAACACTGAAAGGGAGGTAACCATAGCTCAGGCTCAGTCACCATGGTAACCAAAGCTCAGGCTCAGTCACCATGGTAACCAAAGCTCAGGCTCAGTCACCATGTTAACTAAAGCTCAGGCTCAGTCATCGTGTTAACTAAAGCTCAGGCTCAGTCATCGTGGTAACTAAAGCTCAGGCTCAGTCTCCATGGTAACTAAAGCTCAGGGTCAGTCTCCATGGTAACTAAAGCTCAGGCTCAGTCACCATGGTAACTAAAGCTCAGGCTCAGTCACCATGGTAACTAAAGCTCAGGCTCAGTCATCGTGTTAACTAAAGCTCAGGCTCAGTCACCATGGTAACTAAAGCTCAGGATCAGTCACCATGGTAACTAAAGCTCAGGCTCAGTCTCCATGGTAACTAAAGCTCAGGATCAGTCTCCATGGTAACTAAAGCTCAGGATCAGTCACCGTGGTAACTGAGCCTGTGAACATCACCTGGTCGGGAGCAGGTTTTCTTTCTCCTTCCACAGGCTCCTCCCTCTGACAGCAGCCCAGCCAATCACACAGCGGCTTTACTTTCCTCATTCATTCATTCACTCTGTATCAGTTTACACATATGAACTAAATAAGATGTTACGTTAAAGACTAAAGTGTTTTCTGGAACATGACACATTCTTTACATTCCATCACATGTCATTTATCTGACGCTTTTATCCAAAGCGACTTACAATAAGAACATTTCAACCATAAGGACACAAACTCAGAAGAACAAGAAACAAGAAAGTGTGATTTCATCAAATAAGCAGATGTACAACTTGCTGTAGATAAGAACCATTATAAGTCCAGTGTAAGTGCTGCAGTTAGTTAGTGTGTTAGTGGAGGTAGAGTCTGAAGAGGTGTGTCTTTAGTCTGAAGATGTGAAGGCTCTCTGTGGTCCTGATGTCTTCAGAGACCTCCTTCCTCCATTTAGAAGCAGGACAGCAGAGAGTGGAGATCTAGTCGAGTGTTTTGCTCTCATTCTTTTCTGGACGATCCTGTTGACGAAGAAGCGCTTTTACTTCGTTAAACACGTTAAGAGGGGGCGGCGCGGTGGCGTGGTGGTCAGCACTGTTGCCTCACAGCAAGAAGGTCCTGGGTTCGATTCCGCCCAGTGGCCTTTCTGTGTGGAGTCTGCATGTTCTCCCCGTGTCTGCGTGGGTTCTCTCCGGGTTCTCCGGCTTCCTCCCACAGTCCAAAGACGTGCTCTGGGGATCAGGTTGATTGGTGACTCTAAATTGCCCGTAGATGTGTGAATGTGAGTGTGAATGGTTGTGTTTCTCTGTGTAGCCCTGCGATTGGCTGGCGACCAATCCAGGATGTACCCTGTCTATCGCCCGAAGTTGGCTGGGATGGACTCCAGCCCCCCCGCGACCCTGTGTGCAGGATAAGCGGTTTGACAATGGACGGATGGAACATGTTAAGAGAGAATATTGAGGCCCGATTAGATGTATTGTCGTTTCCAGATGACTACTTGTTTCAACGCTATCGTTTTTCTTCACAGTCCATCAAATATGTCCATGACCTCAGCCGTCCTCATAGAAGTAACGTCCCCCATCGTGGACGTGCTCTCACATACGAGCACATTTTTTGTGTAGTACTACGTGTTTCTGTGTTTGCATTAATATTTGCAGCTCAATAGGGGTGAATATACTGTTTGTGGTGGTTGCCATGGTAACTCGTGGTATCGTGGCTCCATTTATGTTGCCTTCATACTGTGGTGCTGCACGCGCTCAACTCTGAGTCAACCTACTCGAGTTGATTGAACCGACTCTAAACAGCTGTTCAGAAACTGAAACCAGAAACTCAGAGTTTGTTAAACCTCCTACTTGAAACGGACCCCAGGTGGTGTAAACTCTTCCTCCTTCTCCACAGGCCTTTGAGGACTCATCCTGTCCTGTGTCGTCATGGACAACCCAGCAGGTCTGTCATTGGCTTCGAGGACTCAACATGGAGCGATATGTCCAAGAATTCAGTGCAAGAGACATTGACGGAAAAGAGCTGCTACAGATGGACGGCAACAAGCTAAAGGTGAAGAACGGGGGGGAAGGGACGAAGACGGGTAAACTGTTCTGCAAAGTCAAACCTTTGTTCACCTCTGTCCCCTCCAGGCTGTGGGCGTGGTCAGCTCGTCCGATCGAAGCACTTTGAAACGTTGCATCAAAGATTTTCAATCTGTTGTGGAGAAAGAAAGAAAAGTTCTGAGACAGAAAGAAAAACAAAGAAGAGACAACGAACATCGTAGGAACTGACCTCCACAACTTGACTGTGTCTCCGTCCTTCTGGATTCTGTACAAAGGAGGGGACATTGTTCAACCTCGAACCTCTAAAGGAAAAAGATGAGTCCAGAAGACACATCATTTGATGACAGGGGTCTTCGTTTTCCAAGCCAAGGTCCCCCCAAACTGATGGCGAGGTGGAGCAGGGAGTTTGGTCCGCCATCTTTTATTTTTGAGCTTCACGCTCTTTACATTACAGGTCATTTAGCTGACGCTTGTATCCAAAGCGACTTACATTACACTTTAAAACCATGGCTTTTTTTACAGGGAGCAATTAGGGGTTAAGTGTCTTGCTCAGGGACACTTCTACTTGAGACATGGGACAGCCGGGACTCGAACCACCAACCTTGCGGTTCCCAGTGCACCAGGTCTACCCCCTGCGCCCCTCTTTAGACATGAGCATAAAGGCGATCTGATTGGCTGGTGCCTACGCGGTCGTATCAGCATGAAAGGAGCAGCGAGTGAACCGGTGAGCAGCTTGAGAGCTGCTGAGGGAAGCTGAGTGTGTGTGTTGACAGATGACGTCTTCTCCATTAATTTATTTATATACGCTTCAATATGTTGGATTCATGTTAATGTGTATTTAAAGACCATAAATAAAATTCTGATTCTGAAGACCGATTTCGCGATCCCCCTGCAGTACCTTCGCGGACCCCTTGGGGGTCGCGGACCCCCTGCTGAAGACCTCTGATTTGAAATATTCCAAATTCAGTTTCACCTCTGATGCGCAGATTCTGCATTAAGCCCCTTTGACCACTCCCTCACCTGATGTCACTTCAAGGAGGCGGGGCCTCGCCGCTTGGAAGAAGCTGGCTGGATTCAAATAGTCCAAAAAATGACCTCCTTACGTCTACATTATTACATTACATTACATTACATGTCATTTAGCGGACGCTTTTATCCAAAGCGACGTACAATAAGTGCATTCAACCATAGGGTACAAACTCAGGAGAACAAGAAACAAGAAAGTGCAATTTCCTCAAATAAGCCAATTTACAATTTGCTATAGATGAGTGACGTTACAAGTACAATTTAAGTGCTACAATTTGTTAGTCTTTAGTCGAGGTAGAGTCTGAAGAGGTGTGTCTTTAGTTTGCGGCGGAAGATGTGAAGGCTCTCTGCGGTCCTGATGTCTTCAGAGCTCGTTCCACCATTTCGGCGCAAGGACAGCGAAGAGTCGAGACCTAGTCGAGTGTTTTGCTCTCAGTGAGGGAGGGACGAGAAGTTTTGCAGATGCAGAGCGGAGAGTGCGGGTTGGGATGTAGGGTTTGACCATGTCCTGGATGTAAGCTGGACCCGATCCATTCACAGCATGGTACGTGAGCACCAGTGTTTTGAACTGGATGCGGGCGGCCACCGGTACCAGTGAAGAGAGCGGAGGAGTGGAGGAGTGTGGGAGAATTTCGGAAGGTTGAAGACCAGTCGAGCTGCTGCATTCTGGATGAGCTGCAGAGGTGGAATGGTGGTAGCAGGAGACCTGCCAGGAGGGAGTTGCAGTAGTCCAGGCAGGAGATGACAAGAGCCTGAATCAGTACCTGCGCTGCCTTCTGAGTGAGAAGAGGACGTGTTCTCCTGATGTTGTAGAGCGAGTATCTGCAGGATCGCGTTGTCGGGGTGATGTTGGGAGTCAGGGAGAGTCGGCTGTCGAGTGTGACGCCGAGGTTCTTAGCAGTCAAAGTGGCCGTTAGCACAGAGTTTATAATGAATAGACATTACATTACGTCTATTCCTAACTGCTATTGCTTCACCTGTGGAACACGCGATGGGGTCAAGGAAAGATGAGAGAGTTCATAAGGAGTGTTTAGGGAATCCAACCCCACTTCAACAAAGATACGTAGTCCTGATGCACGGTGAAGGATGGCTCAGTGGTTCCTATGCTAAAGGAGCTAAGTAAGGAACCATTGAAGCTCCTTTCCTTAGCATTAGATAATTCCAACAGCTCTCACCATGGCGACCACTTACACCCCTTCCGGGTCATTTCATTCAGGTAGGAACCTTACCAAGCAAAAAGGATCCAATCCAGCTGCCGTTGTTGTTACTGCAGCAGAAGTGATTTAATGTAAAAAGAAGTGAAGAAACCAGACATTCTGCAGACAGATGGAAACTAAACAATTCTGATTGTTTCAGAAGTGACCTTTGACCTCCACATTCAAAGCATTTCAATAAACACTTCTGTAGAGAAACTCGGTTGGTTTTCTTTTAACTCCATAAAACGTTTGAGTTACTTTAAATCATTAAGTGATGAGCAGTTAGTAAATTATTTCTAAAACGCTGGTTACATACAACAAGCAGGTCAAGTGGCTCCGCCCCTTTGTAGTTCTGGAGATCTACAAGCTAGCTAGTCCAAAAAAGTTTGTTCTTTCCATCAAAAAGCTTGATTTCTATTTCGTCACATGACATGATGTCATAAGTCATCTCTGAAGCTGAATAGAATGCACCCCTAGATAAACAACAATATTAGAAAAATATGTTTATTGTAAAATATTATGAACAAACATAAATCGATAAAATTAGTTTCTTGGTCTGACAAATAAATACAGTAAATAATCTATAACGATAATACGAATATCTTTCACACACAACATGACATCATCGCTGCTATGAAATCATCAAATATTTCAAACAAACATTTAAACGGAATACACTCAAAAGTTAAATAAATATTTCAACATAAATAATATGAGAAAGTCAATAAATATTGAATAATATTAATAACAATCAATAAATATAAATGACTAAATAAGTATTTATAAATATATGTATATAAACATTAGTCATTATCACCTTTACACACACTTGTGTATAGTATTGTTATCCATTTTCCTGTGCACTTTATTTGTATTTAATTTGATATATTTATTTATACATTGTTAAGTTAATTAAAATCTAATATATAGCTATATACATACATATATATATATATATTAGATATGTATATTGATATATATATATACACACATGATTTGTGGTGTTAATCTGAGTCTGGTGACTCTGGTGGTTTTGGTGACTGAACAGGGTGTGAAGGTCTGCAGTGATCTGCGTTGAGTCCCCAGAGAACTTCAGGAGTTTGACCTTTGGGTCCAATGGGTTTGTTGCTGATTGATTACTGATCAATGTCTGTCGTTCCCCTGAACGCGGAGTTGAAAATAGCAGGACGAGTTCAGACCTGCAGACCTCAGATCAGTTTGTTCATCTCTACATTCCTGTCTTCGTTTACACAAAGCTCACAGGAGTCTTTCACAATAAAAGTCCTTGGTTTGAAAAGAAACATCCAAAAAGAAAAGTCTGAAAGATGGTCTCTGAAGAAAGGCCCAACACTCAGAGTCGGGCTCTGCGTGTGGCCAAAAATCCATATCACGGTATTTAGAAAGATTCTGACAATTCAATTAATTGACGCAAAAAGGACTCCGGCTACCCGAACAGCTGTTCACCAGCAAGTTAGCGTGTTAGCTTGTTGTGGCTGCTAGTGTTGCCACCAGAGGCTCGACAGACTGTCATCCAGTCCAGAACATGATCATCATCTTGCTATGAAATGTCTCCTATGATGCAGTGAAGCCTTCACAGAGGTGCGATCTTTAGATGCTGGCCGTGTCCCCTTAACGTGTCCCCCGCCTTGTTCCCGTGTGGTGGGCGTGGCTTAGTCCGTACCTGCAGGGCGCGGCTTGTAAATGCCGACGCCCCTCAGGCTGCGGATCAAGTCGTGACAGAAGGAGCGGAGATGAGTCAACGTCAGGTGAGTCGCAATCTGCACCTTGTAGTTACCATGGAGACGGGAGGCCAGGTCGGGCCTCTGGTTCTGGTTCTCATCCAGCTCAGGGTCCCTGAGTTGAGCCACCTCTCTCACCTGTAACTCAGAAACACAGTCAGCTGATGAAGTGCGTCACATGCGTTTTGTGCCTTAACTTGGCGACGTGTGTCAGGTGTGTGTGCGTTACCGTGGCGACGTGTGTCTGTAGGTCCCTCAGGTCGGCCTGCAGGTCGCTCAGGCCGCTCACTCGATCAGATAAAACTCCCAGCAGCCTTTGGTACAGCAGGATGCCCGATGACATGCGGCTCACACAGACGTCCTGCGGGGGGCAGATAATGTTCTGTTCATTCCTTCATTAGAACTTCTGGAGGGACTAAAGCAACCTCAAAAACCCCAAAAACAGAGAACCTAGAGAGCCCAAAGAGCCCAGAGAGCCCAGAGAATCCCAAGAACCCAAAGAACCTGGAGAACATAAAGAACTCGGAGAACTCGGAGAACTCGTAGAACCCAGAGAACCAAAAGAACTCTGACCAACCAGTGTAAAGTGCTCTGACAGCGGTTTGAGGACGGGGGCGGGGGGGATGCCCAGTGATGTCACCATCATCTGCAGGTTAGTTGGGTGGGCGGAGTCAAGGGTCAAACCCTGAGGAGAACGGGAATAAGTTAACCACAAATGAAGAAGAACAAACAGCGATAAGAGTCGAGCTACAGCAGCATCGGTCGTCTTGGTTACCTCCATGGTGACGGTGGCGCTGTGCACAATGGAGACGTCTCTCAGAATTTTATCCACTAGAGTCTTTGCTCGCTCAACCGCCTCCCTGAGCGGCTCAGGGTCGGAGGGAGAGACGACTGGAGCTGATTGGAGGAAATCTGCCAACAGGAAGCAGTGCAGCAGAGTGGAGACTAGAGGGACATCACCATCGTCATCATCATCATCATCATCATCATCACTATTACCATCATCACCACCACCTTACTGCACTAATAACCATACACATATACAGTAGTAAAGCCTAGTCTATGGTTGTGCGTTTTCAGAGAGACACATGGACACGCAAGTGTCCCTTGCGTGTCCCTTGCGTGTATTTTCACACCTCCTTGCGTGCGTCGACCCATTTTTCTAGACTAGCGTCTGAAGCGACGCAGCGTCCCGCAGCACCAGGCCTCGATCGCTCCGCTAACTTACGGAGTCTCACATTTCCGCTTTCATAGCCCGATGCCGCCATTATTAAAACAATGAATGTTTACGAGAGAACGGAGCAGATTGAAGAACTTTTGTCTGAAGAAATGCGTAAATATGAGCGCTTCTACAAGCCGTCATTGGCGGGTTTAGAAGCGGGTTGGATTCACGGAGGGAGATCGCCGCAAACGCCGGTTTGCCGGTCGAGAGGAACAAAGTTGTGGAGGACAAATGTGTCCTTGATGAAAAGCAGCAGTGTGGATGCACGGGGCAATAAAGTCTATGATAAATAAATAAACAAATAAATAAATAGACGTGACTCTCTAGGTCGTCTTCAACAAAACACGTCACTCCGCCTGTTGTTCTGGAGGTGAACTGCATTTTAGAACCATAAATTGAAACTAGTGCGTCGACGCGACTGTGCGTAAAGACGCAGAAACATGCCAGCGCCTTAACCCTCCATGCAGGCACTAACAACCCTGCATACGGGCACTAATTACATACAGGCACTAATTGCCCTCCATACACCACTCTTCATTCAGTACCTTAATAACAATAACGTTGTGTATGAATCAGAGACGCTTCAACCAGACTCCATCAAGCTTTCTGCTGATTTAAGAATCGTGCATTTCCGTGATAGACAGTAAAAGTTGCTTCTCACCAATTGCTGGGTTCATGTCTGTCGGGGTCGCTGGCGGTGTCCCGGTGTCTGTCCGCCGGTAAACTCGCTAAAGTCTCTTTCAGCTTCCATTTGCAGCCGTTTGGACTTTTTATCTGCAGGCGCTCGCGCGGGGTTTTCCATTATGGTGCCGATGACGCAGAGTGTTGCCTCACTAGAGGTGTCAAAAGTCTTCACATGCATTACTCAACAAGAAGTGTAGATACTCCGGTTTAAAAAGACTTCTGTGGAAGTTGAAGTATCAACTCAAGATTTTTACTTCAAAGTGTAAAAGTACTGGTTTCAAAACTACTTAAAGTATAAAGCATTTGCAGTGGCGGCTAAATGACAGGACGTCCACGCGTTGTTCCCATTGATCAGGTACGTCAGGTACGTCAGGTACGTCACGGTGGGAGGGGTCGGACTTCTTCCGGCTCTTAGAATGATGGGAAACACTGAACTGACTGCGGTCGAATATCAAAACATTGGCCGAATAACCCATTTTTTCAGGCTTTATGAGTCATTAAGACACACGTCACTTCATTTAAGTCGCTGAGCGCCACATTCTCAATAAAGTTAGAAAAAAATATTTACAGAAAAACCCACGTTTAGCGTTCCGGGCTGTGCATGAGGAGGAGGGTCCATGCCGCTAAATACCCACTGAGAGCAGCTCCGACCACCGAGCGCGTCCCACCGGCTCCGGTCTGCAGGCGCATCGCGGGCGTCTGGACGACCAACCGGGCGTCTGAATGTTTACACTTCTCATCCAACCACAATCACACTCACTCGATCCGGGTGGCGCGATTTATCTGGACGGGTTGTTTTGTGTGCGTGTTATTGAACGATGACAAGCCGGAAGTAACGAGGCTTTTTTTAAATGTACCGAGTAGAAGTAAAAAGTCGTCTGAAAAATTAATACTCCAGTAAAATATAGATACACCAAATGTCTACTTAAGTAATGTAACGAAGTATTTGTACTTCGTGGGGGGACGGGACGGGACTCAGCGGAAGCCTCACCTGCGCCGGGGACACACGTGACTCACGTGACTCCACACCTTTACTTCTCCGGCACTTCCGGATCCTTCCAGCAGCTTCAGACGCTTTGAGTCAGTTTATCTTAAGTCACAACAATTGACGTTATTATTAATGACGCTGACTTTAATATCACAGTTTTTATTCTTCTTAAAAATAAGAATGTTATTATATATATTTTTTAATGCCTTATACTTATTATTAATCCTCATTACTCACATTCACTTCCTGTATGACGTTATGTTCTTTACAATTTAGGAAATCCTGGAAAAAAAGAAGTGAGTCAGCACAAAAACTCTTCCAGTGAGGTACTTGTACTTCACCGATTCATGCAACTTCGTATTTCCGTCGACGTTAAATATGATGCATTCGTTACATCACAGGTCATTTAGCTGACGCTTTATTACACTTTAAACCCGCGGCCCGGGGAGCAATTAGGGGTTAGGTGTCCTGCTCAGGGACACATCAGCTTGAGATATGGGGCAGCCGGGACTCGAACCACCAACCTTACGGTCCCCAGCGCACCCTCTCTACCCCCTGCGCCAATAATGTGAATCTGAGGCACAAACTAATCTACTTTACAGTCTCTAAAAAGAAAGACTTATTTTATTTATAATCATTTATTATATTTAATGAGTTATGTTCATTAACTGTCCTTTTTCCATAGCTTTGACCTTTGACCTACATATCCCCTTCATCAAAAGACAGCGGTTCACAACCGGTCACATGAAGATGACGAGGTCAAAAGCTCCAGGAGAACAAAACAGATGAATATTCACATTTACTTCCTTAATGAGATCTAATTATTAAATGAATAAAACCAGTAAGGATACTTTTTTCCAGTCGTAGTAAAGTTTGAAGAGTAGATCTTCGGTGAGTTTAGACTGTTTGATAAAACTTGAAGCAAACTGATCCAGGAGCAGTTTCCCAGAAGCATCTTGGGTCAGGGCCCCTCCAGGTGTGACAGAAATGTTTCATCAGAGCAGAAAATCATGGCCCTTAAAACTATTACAAGTGGACGAAAGTGTACACACATGTGTATGTAGTACATTATATACACACATATACACACACACACGCGTACAGTGGGTACGGAAAGTATTCAGCCCCCTTTAAATTATTCACTCTTTGTTTCATTACAGCCATTTGCTAAAATCGGAAAAGTTCATTTTATTTCCCATTAATGTTCACTCAGCACCCCATCTTGACAGAATAAAAACAGAAATGTAGAATGTTTTTGCCAATTTATAAAATAAATATCTCATGGTCATAAGTATTGAGATCCTTTGCTCAGTATTGAGTAGAAGCACCTGTTGAGCTCTGGGGATCCGGCAGGTTGGATGGTGAACGTTGGTGGAGAACCAGTCAGGTCTCTCCAGAGGTGCTCAATTGGGTTTAGGTCAGTGCTCTGGCTGGGCCAGTCAATATATATATATATACATACATATATATGTATATACATACACATTATAGATATATATTATATATATACACATATATATGTACACATACATATATATATATATACACGCATATATATATATACATATACACACATATATATATGTGTATAGATATATATATATCTATATATATGTGTGTATATATATATATATATATATGTGTGTGTATATATATATATAGATATATATATATATTTATAAACTGTGCAAACAGTTTAATGTCGCGATTCTTGTCACAAATACGTCGGCTTCATTCAGTGATTGAAACTGAAGGTTCTAGAGTACCGACATCGAACGCTCCGAGCGAGCGGAGCTGTAAACACGGAACGTTTCATTGGCGTGAAACGGCAAATAATCAAAGCATGAAGCTGTTGTAGCCGTCTAGTCTGTTTTATTCATGCAGTAGTCAGTAGTCCGGCGCCCACTAAGCAGACAGTCGCGCAGCTGCTGTGTGTTTCTTTGTTTTGTACATTTGAATATAAAATACATATATATATACATAAACATATGTATCCATACATATGTTTCTTTCATTCTGAACTATGACTAACTCATGCTTTATATTCTGACATTTGATTGGTCAGTGTGAAAAAAAAAGTTACCATGGTGATCTACCAGGCAAGCGGTTACCCAGGTAGATCCACATTGTTCTTCCAGGTTCAGGACTGATGTGGACCTCAAACTACATTACCCAGAACACCACAGAAACAGATGGATGTCAACAAACCCAAAGTGGAATTTATTTGTTTAGAGGTTACAGCAGGAAAACAATTCCAGAGGAGAAGAGGGGGGAATTGTGGGTAATAAATCATGAATGGCAGACACACACACACACACACACACACACAGGAAGTCAGCAGAGGATTATGGGAAGCTGTCATCGTCATCTTCAGCCATTTCTTTGGCGAACTCCAGATCCTGTTGCTCCCGTTCCCGACGCTCCTGAACACACACGTTTAAATGAGTCAGTGTTGCAAGTTCAGTTCATGTACCAGCATGCATTGGTCACAGGGCAAAAAAAGTCCCGTCGGATCACTACGCACGCACTATCAAACATGGGAGCTAACGTTAACTTGGTAGTGCTAATTAGCGTCCTCGGTTACTAACGGACACGTAATGTCCTTCAGAGGACACCCTGCTGACTCAGTCGGTGCAGATCACAAGAACGTGTGCAATGGTTGTGGCTCGATCGGCATGACTTTGTAGGTCCTGAAAAGGTGTGGACCCCCCTGCTGTACATTACATTACATCACAGGTCATTTAGCAGACGCTTTTATCCAAAGCGACTTACATCACACTTTAAACCCGTGGCTTTTTCACATTTTGCCTGGGGAGCAATTAGGGGTTAGGTGTCTTGCTCAGGGCTCAACCTTGTGCTTCCCAGCACACCCTCTCTAACCCCTGCGCCACGACGACCCCCTGTACAGTGACTGATGACCTCATCACACAGCGTGTACTTGTATATTATGGGATGTCTTCTGATGTCAGAAGGACTAGGAGTGTGTAGTTCATGACGTATCAATACAATGATCTCACGTGTGTGTGTGTGCGTTACCTCTACTGACTCCAGGTCCTTGTTGTACGCTTTAGGAGGAAATCTCATCGCCTGCAGGAAGAGACAAAAGATTCAACGTTCTAAAGAGATTAGGAGAGACCTAATAGGTCCAAATGTGTGTAGATATTTAGGTGTGAATCCTACAGATGTGTGTGTTTACACGTCAGAGATGTTGTGCGTGTCTCACCTTCACAGACATGTTGTGGATGTCCAGGCAGAAGGAAATCCTCTGGTGGAAGGCCAGCTGAGGCTCTCTGGTGCCGTAGATGTCCATGGTCTCTTTTGATTGGACGAAGCCTTTCTCATGGTTGATGCTCGCCTCGATCACCCCGTCACGGATCGCCTGGACCACACACACAAACACACGTCAGTTTGGTGGAGTTTGCTTGTGATCTTGATTCTGTGTTGAAGCGTCCCCCCCGTTACCTTGGCAACAATGAACTCGGCGTCCTCTGGGCTGTCAAGCTGAAGCTTCTGAGCGATGTCGGCCAAAGAGATCCGAGAGTACGACAGGCTGATCATACGCACACCTGTGCGCACGCACACGCACACACACACACACACACACACACACACACACAGTTATAAAACCCACAGGCCCATCACCTGTCCCACGTCTCCGGTGTTTGGCTCACCAGTCTTGATGACGTTGTGTCTCAGGCGGATGATGAGTGTGTACGTCCCATCGGTCTGAAACTTCTCCCCAAACTGCTCCAACACCTGGTTGAACTTGGCCAGGTTACCTGCTCTCACCGCTGTACACAAAGTACACACAAGTGATCAGAGACAGTAGAAACATGGTGGCCATGAATAGAATGGGCTACATGAAGCCGTCAGTAGGAACTGACCCTGAGTCAGCAGGAAGTAGGGCATCAGAGACCTCTTCAGGGACGGCTGTCTGAATTGGAGTCTGTCAGGAATCTCTCCCAACAACAACTCCACCACGATCAGCAGCTTGTGGACCTGATCACAGATCAATAAGCCGTTACCACAGGACTCAGAACACCGGGGCGGACGTGTGCTGCGGGGAACGTACCGTCTGCTTGAAGCCCACAGCCGTGTGCTGAGGAGCTTTCCTCAGAGCGTTGGTCAGAGTCCGCCGAGCCTCTGTGTACTCCAGCTGGATCGCCTTGATACGACCTGCCGGAGGTCACATGACACACAGGTGAGCCCAGGAGCTCGATCCAGAAACACAGCATCGATAAACACAGTGTAGTACCGTATCTGAAGTGGTGAAATATAATGATGCCAAAATGTTGTATTAGATGAATGTCTAAAGCTAATCATGAGTTTAATTGTGAGGAAGTTCCACAGCACAAGCTGTGTGGAAACTGAGCAGAAGAACCTGAGTTTTCCATCAGGTCTCCATTCTTTTAGCATAACAAAACCAAGGTAAACAAAGTATAAATGCAGCCGTTTTGCTCTCAAGCATCAGGGAGAAGCCTGCCGCTGGCTGTTCATGTATACCTGCTGCAGACATATTCTTATATGTCATTTTATAACGAGTCCCAATTGTACGAAAATCTTCCACCACAAAATTGAGCTCTGTGCAGCACGGGCATCAGCCTCACCCGTGTAGCACAGGTATCAGTCTCACCCGTGTAGCACAGGTATCAGTCTCACCCGTGTAGCACAGGCATCAGTCTCACCCGTGTAGCACAGGCATCAGTCTCACCCGTGTAGCACAGGTATCAGTCTCACCCGTGCAGCACAGGTATCAGTCTCACCCGTGTAGCACGGGTATCAGTCTCACCTGTGTAGCACAGGTATCAGTCTCACCCGTGCAGCACAGGTATCAGTCTCACCTGTGTAGCACAGGCATCAGTCTCACCTGTGTAGCACAGGCATCAGTCTCACCCGTGCAGCACAGGTATCAGTCTCACCCGTGCAGCACAGGCATCAGTCTCACCTGTGTAGCACAGGCATCAGTCTCACCCGTGCAGCACAGGTATCAGTCTCACCCGTGCAGCACGGGTATCAGTCTCACCTGTGTAGTACAGGTAGCGGGCCCACTCGTTGTTGTTGGCGAGCTCGGGGAACACAGACTTGGAGACCAGCTTCTCAGCCTGGTCGTACAGGTTGAAGTGCAGGTAGTTCCTGAGCAGCAGGTTGAGGAGCACAGCCTGCCCGTCGGCATCGTGACGCAGAGTAGCTGTACGGAGACGAGTGTGGAGGAAGCTGGAAGGAGAAGAACTGCTGTTAACTCATGAGCAGCGTGTGGTAGCACCTGCTGAGAGTGTACCTCTGGGTGTGTGTGTGTGTGTGTACCTGCGCATGGTGTCAAACTGCTTGAGGAACTCATACACTCTGGCATGGTAATAATAACACTTAGCAGCCACCAGATCCAGAGCTCTGCGGTTCTTAGAGCCGATCTTCTGGAGCAGGTCGTCTGACACCTTCTGAGCCTGGAACACACAAGACCATCGTCATCGTCGCCTCAATCAACACCTCCATCGCCATCAGTACCAGCATCCTCACCACCAGGGCGGTCACCATATCGAGTGTTGTGCGATTATTGGACAAACATTATTTGGGATAAATGATAGTGTTGCAATTTTCATTTTATGCCACTAATAACAAAATGACAACAGCACAGCAATACAAGTACGCTCTTTCAAAGAACGTTTTATTTGTCAGAATAATTAGACATTAGAATTGGAAAGTGAAAAAAGATATCCTAATTAAATGTTAGATAAATTACATTACAGGTTATTTAGCTGACGCTTTTATACAAAGTGACTTACATTGCATTTTGAACCAATCAATATAGATAACGTGTGCACGTGGAGGCGCTGCCTAAGCCCCGCCCACGACAATGGAAGCAGACCAGAGGGAAGCGCGACCGCCGGACATGTCGGTGACGTTCATTTGAATGGAAAATGAATATTGCACCACCAAAAATGATCACATTCACTTTCATTTAGTGTGTGATAAGTCAACATATTGCGACAGGCCTCGTCAAACCTCCACCCTCGTCAGCCTCCTCACCACCTCTGTCCTCATCACCACTTCTATCGCTACATAAATAACAGAGGGGGAGATGATGCATGTAGCATCGTCTTAAACAAGACTTTGACCTTATTTCAGTGACGACCTCATAAACATCTCGTCATGATTAAAATGATTCATGTTCATTAAATATTCTATTTATTTTGATCTCTTCATCAACAGATACACACTGATTACCTCATCTCCACAGACAGAAAGAAGTAGGCAGACAGACCTCACTGTATCTCTTGCTGTTGGTCAGGTGGACCACCAGCAGCAGCTGCAGATAAGCCTCCACCTCCGGCAGCAGAGGGGTCGAGGCCGCTTTACCCGTCCTAGGACGGAACTGGACGTCTCCTTCAGCCATCTCCATTGGCTGATGATCAGACAGACAGACAGAGTGAGACAGCCAGAAAGGTATCACCACTGACCCAGTGTTAATTTCGTCGACGAAAACTATGATGAGACTAAGACGTGACGAAAACGATCTTAAAAAATAAAAACTATGACTAAATCTATTCTAACTTTCGTTAACGAGACGAACATGTTGGTGGTTGACGAAGTCACGATACTTTTCCCCCTAAATCCGCACGCAGCTGACAGACGACAGAGAGACAAAGTACGGCGGATATTAACGCGTCATCATGACGTCATCCACCAACCACTCATTTATATTCGCTCACAGACACTTGTTCTTGGCCCGGCTCCTCCGTCACATTTTACAACCCATTGTGGCCGCGAGTCAAAACGTTTGCCGACCTGCTGTAGGCCTGTCCTAGGAGGGACATCTATAGGCCTGTCCTAGGAGGGACATCTATAGGCCTGTCCTAGGAGGGACATCTATAGGCCTGTCCTAGGAGGGACATCTATAGGCCTGTCCTAGGAGGGACATCTATAGGCCTGTCCTAGGAGGGACATCTAATGGACAACCAAGTACTACAAGCTAGACTATTATGCAGCTGTAGACACAACACAGGGGGTCCCTGGGCCTGAGAAGGGAAGAAAAGGAGTTTAATATGGATATTAAATGGGACGAAAACTAGTTACATTTTAGTCTAGTTTTCGTCGACTAAAACTAAGGAGGATTAAAATGACTAAATGTCACTAAAACTAATATGCATTTTTTCGTCTAAAGACTAAGACTAAATCAAAATAGCTGCCAAAATTAACACCGCACTGACCATGTGATCACTAGATCCATAAGGAGTCGGGTTTACAAGGTTTGATATGAAACATTAAAGGACTGATTATCAGTTAGAATTAATCCCACCTCCTCCAGGAAGCCCAACAGGAAGTCCCTGGTGGAGGTGTTGTTGGTGAAGAAGCCAAACACAGCTTTGTGGAGGACGTTGGTGTTCAGACGCCGGCTCGTAGAAGGCAACGCTCTCAGAGCTCTGAGGACGAAGCGGGGCTCCTTGCCGGACACCGCCTTCTCGATCTGCTTCACGTGCTCCCTGATGTCTGGGGGGTACAGACGATTGGATCATTGTGACAGTTTCATTTAGAGTCGGTTCTTCGCCTTCGTGTTACGCGGTGTGAAGTCCACCTGTCCAGGTCCAACATGTTCTAACGTGTCCTCTTAACATTCGGCAGAGAAGCACCAACAAAACGGGTGTAAACATTCTGCCTTACATCTCCCCTCTCGTTATATTAGGGAACATTAACGGTTACCGTAGCGTCTTCACGCCGCCTGTTAGCCGCCGATGCTAAGATGCTACCGTCGTGTTTACCACCCAGTGTCCAGGTTGTTTAACGTTAGCTGCTGATGCTAAAGTGACAAAAGCTGCGGAATGAAGCCTATCTCCGGTGAACCGGCTCCCGTACCGGCCAGCCCCGATGTTTTCTATGGAAGTATTACACGTTTACCATCGAGAGTCAAGCTATCCAGCTCTTTGGGTTGTTTAGCCACGTTAGCAGCGTCCTCCTCCGGCATCTCAACGTCCTGCGTCTCGGGGCCCGGGTCCTTCGGCTTCTCGGCTTTGGAGTCCGGGTTTCCCGCCTTGTCCCCCCGGCGCTTGGCCACCGTCTCCTTCATGATGTTCGGGAGAGAAACCGTTGAGAGTCCGCGGAAACAAAAAGTTCGGTTCCGAGACGTTAACAAAGATCCGCAGCGTCACTTCAGTCTACGTTGCTACAATGACTGGCAACTACTGAGGGCGCAAAGCATTGTGGGATAATTCAGACAGCATGAAAAGATCGCAGAAGCAGTTAATCAATGACGGATAAATCGATTCAGTCCTGAAGGTAACTGTTTTTTTGTGAACCGTTAAGTCTTTTGAATGTTGTTTTAAGAAACCATTGAATGACACAAATAATTACAATGCCAAGAATAATTATTGTCAATTTAAAAATAATATATTTAATTTGATTAAAGTAAGAAAAACAAATGACCAGAATTTATCTAACGAGCTGCTGCATATATAGTTGAAACATATAGTTAAAATAAATTAAAAGCTAGTAAAAACATAGGAAAGACTAAAATACGCCTTTCTGAATAAAAAAGTTATATAGAATTAGAATCGGAAAGTGAAAATATATAATAAGTATCCATGAGTCCCAAAGGAGGTTACATGATGGTTCCTCAAGTAGTGTAAGTGGTCGCCATGATAAGAGCTGTTTGAATTCTCCAATGCTAAGGAAAGGAGCTTGAATGGTTCCCTACTTAGCTCCTTCAGCATAGGAACCACTGGACCATCCTTCACGTTTCCGTCCGACTATTCCTTGAGGCGGCAATATTTAAATAGTGACGTATCATTGCTCCGTTCACGAGAAATAACGATCATGCCGTAGAAACATAGATCACCAGGGATCATTTATTGCCAGTAGTATGGAGTAAATAGTAAGATTATAAGCAGTGATTAACCGTATAACTCATTTATGTTGCTGGCTTGTTAATAACGTTTTCCTTTGAATCTAGTTATTTGTGTTGTCTGCATGACTCACACTGTAACACACATGAAGCATCTAAGATGCACACTGACATCAGTAACGTGCGTCTCCGTCCATCACAACTACGTGATTTGACCAGATTAATAGTATATGCAGTACTATACGTGAATTATTATATACAAAGTACTCAAGTACTCCAATACATCCCAGGGGTACATATTGTACAGTTTATTGAACTATAATAACCTTTTATATTAATAGTATTATTATTATCAACAACACAATTAGAAATGAAACAAATGTGTTTGTAATACAAATTTGTTTGTATTGGCTTTCGACGTTCGATGTGTGAAATATGAAATAATCAATATGATAAATAAAAAAACAACAAGTTAAAACATAAAACCAAAATAAAATAAACCCTAAAAAATATATATTTTTCACTAATCATTGATTTTATGTTATTGGTGAATGAAAAGTTTAAGTGAAGGTTTCAAAGTATATCCGATGTCTCGTGTTTTATCAGGTCAGGTGACAGGTGTCCAGTGGGCGGGGCTACGTCTGCTCTCCGCTGATAGGGCTCTCTCACAGCGCGAGCTCTCTGGTGAGAAACGACTTCTAAACAAGAAGAAAAGGGAGCAGAAGGAGAAGAACAAGAAGAGGAACAAGGAGGAGAAGAAGAAGAAGAAGAAGAAGAAGAAGAAGAAGAAGAAGAAGAAGAAGAAGAGACGAGAAGAAGAAGAAGATGAGACGAAGAAGAAGAGAGAAGAGAGAGAGAGAGAGAGAGAGAGAGAGAGAGAGAAGAGAGAGAGAGAGAGAGAAGAAGAAGAAGAAGAAGAAGAAGAAGAAGAACGGAGAGGAGGGAGAAGAAGTCTTGGATAAGTCTTCACATTAAACTCAGCCTCAGTGACTGCTGACAGAGTGAGTTTATTTTATCTAAAAGGCTATTTTATCTGTAGTTCCAAGAGGCAGTTATAAATTAATTATAATTATAAAATAAACCTAAAAATAGGAGATACAGTTAGAAAGGTCATACACTATTGTCTGTGCACGTGAGAAAATGAGAAAAGTAAAAGTAAAAGATTGCCAAGTAGTCATAAGACATTCAACACACACAAAGAACACACTTAGAACAATCAGAACTAACAATAATGTCATATAATGTAATGTAATGTAATTTATGATATGAAATTATTGAAAATATAATGCCAAATAATATAATATGATGTAGCATAATATAAAACAATAATATTAAATGTAATATATTATGGCTGATATAATATAATATAAAATCTAATATGTTATGATATAACATTCTTTATAATATAATATACAATATTAAATATCATATCATCATTTCATATAATATAACACAATTTAATATAATACAAAATAATGTGATGTAGTATATTATTACACTATATAACATGTATATCTATATAATATGATATCTGAAATAGTATAATATAATCAAATACAATATTTTATTATCATATATAATATAATATTGCATGATATAATATAATGCAATATCATATTACAGCCGCAAAGCACCTGGAGAAAACTGATTGGGTTGGGTGCGCTGCTACAAGGGTGGCAGTGACAGTGGGGGGTCGGACCAGATCTGGGGACGTGGAATGTATCCTCTCTGAGGGGGGGCAGAGCTTGTGCGAGAGGTGGAGCATTATCAGTTGGTGGGGCTCACTTCTACGCACAGCCTTGGCTCCGGAACTGTACTCCTGGATAGGGGATGGACTATTTTACTGTAGAGCGGCCCATGGTGTGAGGCGCCAGGCGGGTGTGGGGATACTCACAAGTCCCCGGCTGAGTGCTGCTACATTGGAGTTTACGCAGGTGGACAAAAGCGTCGCCTCCCTACGCCTTCGGGTTATGGGGGGGAAAACTCTTGACTGTTGTCTGTGCGTTTGTACCAAACAGCAGTTGGGAGACACTGGATGTCCTGCATGGGGCTTCCTTAAGGGTCCATAGTCCTGCTGAGAGACTTTAATGCAGATGTTATGATGGAGATACCTGGAGAGGCTTGATCAGGAGAATTGGCTACCCTGATCTGAACCCGAGCGGCCATTTGTTGTTGGACTTCTGTGCCAGTCATAAATTGTCCAAAACAAACACTATGTTCGAACATAAGGATGTTCACTAGTGTACGTCAGGGGTGCCCAATAGGTCAATCGCTACTGTGGAGATCGCCTGCCATTGATAAAGGCTAACGGAAAACAAATGCTAATTAGCATTGCTTACTAACAGAGGCATTTCATTTCATTGAAAAGGAAACCCGGCTGACTTCCATCAGTGCAAGTCATCCAACTAAGGTAATGACCAAGAATCTGTGGAATGTTTGTGACGGTTCCCTCCTTCTGACCGATAACAGGGGCTCGTTGTTTTTTATATCGACTTTTTTCGCGCTGACGATATGCAGCGGTGTTGTTAAGTTTGGTTACCGCAACTACTCGTTTGCAGTACTACTATAGTACCGGGCGGTGGAAGGAGCACTTTGACGAACTCCTGAATCCAACTGCGCCCTCTTTGGTTGAGGCCCAGCTGGAGGTGGAGAAAGGATCATTGTTAATTTGCCCAGTGGAAGTCACTGAGGTAGTCGAAAACTCTGCAGCGGCAAAGCCCAGGGATGGATGAGATCCGTCCAGAGATGCTGCAACATTGGGTGGAAATCTGGGACAGTGGCAGACCGGAATGGTGGTGGTACCTCTTTTTAAAAAGACGGACCAGAAAGTGTGTGGCAAGTCTCCCTGGTAAAGGTGCTGGAAAGGAGGGTTCGGCCGATAATCAAACGATAGATTGAAAAGAAAAAATTTGAATTTTTGTCCTGGTCGTGCTACAACGGACCAGCTCTTGATAGGATCATGAAGGGGGCCTGGGAGTATGCTCATCCAGTCTACATGTGTTTTGTGGACCTGGGAAAGGCGTATGACCGGGTCCCCCGAGAGATACTGTAGGACGTGCAGCAGGAGCGCCATCAAATCCCTGTACACCCAAAGCTAGATCTGTGTCACGGTTTGGGTTAATGTCTGGTTTTATTTTGTAGTTCCCTTCCTCTGTTCTCCCTGGTCACGTCACTTCCTGCCTTGTCCTGTCGTCCCCTGTGATTGTCTGTCATGTCATGATTGTTCCCAGCTGTGTCCAATCCCCGCCATGCAGCACCCTGACAATCTGTCCGTGTAGGGAATGTGTCCATATTCTGAGCGAAGGTCTTTCACTCGCTTTACTGCACCCGGGAAAAAAGAGCTGAGCCAAAAGGCCCCAGGGAAAACCCAGGATTACGTGGAGAGATTATATCTCCACACTGGCCTGGAAACACCTTGGACGCCCCAGTCAGAGTTGGTAGAAGTGGCCCGGGAAATAGACGTTTGGGACCCCCTGCTGGGGCTGGTACCCCTGCAACCCGACCCCTGATCGCTGTTGAAGATGACATGAGAGGCAATACTGTATTATTTGATATGACACAATATAATATAATATATTATATAATATAGTACAATAGAATATGAAAATAATATAATTGACCTAAAAATACGATACAATAATAATTAACAATAACAACCAACATTTTAACGTTTTCATCTTTAAGAAACAAAATATTCAAACAAGGACCAAAGATATCACAACATCAGCCAGACAGAAAACACTTAAAATAATAAAATGTAAGTTAAAATCCTTATCTTTTGTTACAGTTTAATTGAATCCTATGGTGGCTCCTCCCACTTCTCTGACCTCAAGAAGAGGAAACGGACAACCGAACCAAGAAGAGACCTGGAAGAACAACAGTCCACACTTTCGCCTTCTCTTTCGCCTGTTACCATGACAACCTCAAAGGACAACCCTCCGGCAAATCAGGACATCTACTCAGACTCGGGGGAGGAGACGTCAGTCACGTTGTCAGACACCAACGAGGCGTTACCATGGCAACCAAAGAAGGAGGAGGAGCGTGACGAAGAGGAGACAGAGGCCGTGGCATCGTCTCCGGACGGACGATTCCTGAAGTTCAACATTGAGATCGGACGAGGATCCTTCAAGGCGGTTTATAAAGGACTGGACACTGAGACAACCGTGGAGGTGGCCTGGTGTGAGCTGCAGGTAACAGTACGTAGTACTACATACACACACTATACAGAGCAGTACACAGCAGTACACCAGCTTTCACACAACAGGACACAACAGCAAGATGGCGCTAATCAAAATGCGGATCTCAGCACAAAGCTCAAACCAAAGAACCACGCTAACATATGTCACTGTGTGTTAGTGTGTGTTTGCACGTCAGTACGTGTTACTTTGCGTTAGAATGTGTGTTTGAGAGGGATACGGGAACGGTGAATAAGCAGTTTTTGTACCATAAACATGTGTTATTTCATATCGGCCAGACGGCAGCTGGTTGATATAGATAAAAGCTCTCACACACACACACACAGACGCTAGCACACACACACGTAATGAGGTCTTTATGGTTCTTCCCTCAAAAGTTCATGTGAAAAAAAAGTTGTTAATATTTCTGCGGATGTGTTGACCCACCGTTTATATGCTGACATTTTATTCAATGAAAAATGAGAAACAAGTTCAGAAATGTTAGAAAGGTTTTACATTTTACTTTATTGTTCTATTTGAACAATTATTGATCTTCAGACTCATCGTCTCTCCAAGTCGGAGCGTCAGAGGTTCACGGAGGAGGTGGAGATGCTGAAGGCTCTGCAGCACCCCAACATCGTCCGCTTCTTCGACTCCTGGAAGTCAACGCTGAGGGGCCACAAGTGCACCATCCTGGTGACGGAGCTCATGACCTCCGGGACCCTGAAGACGTGAGTCCACTACAGAGACACATCATTCTAGTCCCTGAAGGCTTCACTGGAGGAGCTCACCTGTGTTTCTACGCTGCTTCAGGTACCTGCGGCGGTTTCGTCAGATGAAGCTGAAGCTGCTGAAGCGTTGGAGCTTCCAGATCCTTAAGGGGCTTCAGTTCCTACACTCCCGCTGCCCCCCTATCCTGCATCGAGACCTAAAATGTGACAATGTCTTTATCACTGGGCCCAGCGCATCAGTGAAGATCGGAGACCTGGGCCTCGCCACGCTCAAAAAGGCCTCATTCGCCAAGAGCGTGATCGGTGAGAAAGCAACGTAAGACAGGCCAGCGCGGTAAGCTGTTCGTTTACTGTCACTGTTGGGATGTGTTCAGGGACCCCGGAGTTCATGGCTCCAGAGATGTACGAGGAGAAGTACGACGAGGCCGTGGACGTCTACGCGTTCGGCATGTGCATCCTGGAGATGGCCACGTCCGAGTACCCGTACTCCGAGTGTCAAAATGCCGCCCAGATCTATCGCAAAGTCACCAACGTGAGGCTCCGACCACTGGAGTGCAGTCCACTTTCTGTCTCTGGACACACATTGGTCCCTGAACTCCCCATGACACTTTAGTCCTTGAACATCCCCTGGCACAATTCAACATAAGGCTACAGCCACACCTGACTACCATCCACTTCCAGTTTCTGGTCATATGCTTGATATTTGTTTTTCTCTTAGGGAATCAAACCAGACAGTTTTCTCAAGGTCTCCGTCCTGGAGCTCAAGGAGATCATAGAAGGCTGCATTCGTACCGACAGCAAAGAGAGGTGAGGGGACACCTGTATATATTTAAATACAACTCATCATGTAAATATGTAATACGTTCAGGATCGATGTGTGAGGTGGGGGGACACAAACCAAGACGACAAGCAGGGTTTTCTAAATGAAAGCAAAAAACACAACACAGATTACTTCTGGTTTGGGGTCTTTAACATCTAACATAAACTCTTTCTCTTTTTCGTCCGCTGCTCTCCTTCCCCTACTATATATATATGAAACTGACTGAAGGAAAAATCTATATCTAAGCAGCTGAAACAATACAATTGCAGAGTTAATTTGCACCCCCTGCTCATAACTGTAAGTTACTATGAACTATTTTAAAACGATACCAAAAACGTCAGACTTGTTTTGTTAGCTAGGTTTAGGGTCAAATTGTAGTTCTATTTCATCCAAACTGACCACCAGAGGCAGTGCTTCACACTGGATTATCTTCTGTCCCATGCTAACCCTAACCCGCAAGTCTAGTCTTTATACCAACGAGTCACCTGTGACCCCAGATGACCCACCCGGAGATCAGTCCTATTTCATCTTCTCGCTACGCAGGTAGCTACTCTGGTAGCTAAGCTTGAACGATCTATTTCTCTAAAAATTGAGATGTATTTCGAAGAGTGCTCCCGCTCAAGCTACCTAAGGGGACCCCAAGACCGGCAGCCTAGAGGCCTCTCTCCCTGGCAGTCCTAGGAACATCCAGCAGAGCGCTTAAGCCGATTGAGCAGGACCATGTTTCACTCTCCCAGCTGTAGGACCTGTATGCCTCCTCTTCACTCACATCTGAGGGACGGCCTGTCAGAGGAGGCCTGTATGAGATGTGGCATCATCACACCAATTCAATTCATTTTATTTTGTATACACTGTAAAAAAAAAAAAACGTAAAAAGAAGGTTGAATGACTGGCTGCAGCGGCTGCCAAACAAAAAACATAAAATTATGGTAAAATAACTTAATTCAAATGAAGTGCGAAAGCCATAAATTTACAGGAATGTTCCTTGTTTCCTTCCTGTTGTTTTATAGATTTTTTCTGTATTATTACGATCAAACACCTTCAATACAGTGATATCAACAAAGGTTTTGCAGTAAAAACGTATTATTTTAAATTATTTTAAACACATTAACACATTGTCAATTCTCATGAAAGATTAGCCATTCATAAAGATTTTCAATGTTTCAATTAAACTAGGGGTTGGAAACTTCCATCCATCTTCAAACCGCTTATCCTGCACACAGGGTCGCGGGGGGGCTGGAGTCTATCCCAGCCAACTTCGGGCGAGAGACGGGGTTCACATTGGACTGCTCGCCAGCCAATCGCAGGGCTACACAGAGACAAACAACCACTCACACTAACACTCTAGACGGCAATTTAGAGTCACCAATCAACCTCAAATCTTTGGACTGTGGGAGGAAGCCAGAGTACCCAGAGAGAACCCACACAGACACGGGGAGAACATGCAGACTCCACACAGAAAGGCCACTGGGCGAAGTCGAACCCAGGACCTCCAGTACAAGGTTTTTCTCTGTAAAATTGTTAAGGAAAATTCCTGTAAATGTATGGTTCTCGCACTTCATTTGAAGTAAGCACAGAACCTTGTGGGACCTCACATTGGTGGTCAAGTACGAACTCGGATTGATCAAATAAATACGATTTAAACCAGCTGAGAGCAGTTCCTTCAATACCAAATGTTTTAGACTCTGCAACAGGATACAATGATCAATGGTGTCAAATGCGGCACTGAGGTCCAGCAAGACAAGAAAAGAGATGAGTCCTGGGTACAAGTAGAAGATCATTCGTAATTATGACCAGTGCTGTTTCTGTGCTATTATGCACTCGAAATCCTGACTGGAACACCACAGCTCTGTCCCATCATACGATGATGAACGAGCTCTGGGGGCCATGCAGGACGCGGCAAAATTCTGCCCAACTATTGCATTCCTCATAGTTTCCCCCGAGGAGTCATTGAGGCCTGATGCGGGCCGGCCGGCGATATTCTCTCCCAGCAGCAGATCAGCTACTGGGCAGTTCACCCTCCGGACCCCTGGGTTGTACCACCGGGAGTTAGCCGTACTTCTGGCCATGGGTCCTCTCTCGAGAGTGGACCCCCTGTCACAACCCGGGGTTCTACTCAGCTTATTTTCTCGTGAACAAGAAATGTGGCGGATTACGTCCAATTCTAGACCTGAGGGAACTCAACAAGTTCCTGAAGGTGTCACCCTTTCACATACTGAGCAGACACAGCAGATTTCCAAAGGAGAGTGGCTCACGTTTGACAACCTGAAGGATGCTAATTTCCACGTTCCCATTTGGCCTTACCACAGCAGTTTCTTCGTTTCGCCTTTCAAGGCCGTCACTACCAGTTCACGGTGCTCCGATTCGGACTCTCCCTCTCTCCACGGGTGTTTATATGGTGTGTGGACAATGCCCTTTCCCCCCTGCAATCGCAGGGCACGAAAATAGTGCCGTCCTTCTCTCTCGCGTAGCCCGGTTGGACCGCAGAGTAAATATGGAGAAGAAGTCCCAAAGCCCTTCTCAGAAGATAACCTTCATTGGTGTGGCTCTGGACACAATCACAGTCACCCGTCCGTCACCCCAGCGCGTGTGAACAACAGCCTCTCCTCTTTCCGAGGGGGCAGGCGGATGCCCTCCAAACTGGCAGCTGTCTCAGCTGTTGTTCTCTTAGGCTTGCTGTCACTACGCCCTCTGCAGAAAGCGACTGCTCACCTTATCTCCATGGAGGGAGAGAGCATTTCTGTCGAGTTGGGGCCCAATGGGCTCTGTCCAATTACGACGGGAGGTGGTCACCACAGATGCCTGCCTCTTGGGATGGGACGCAATGTGGCAGAACACGGCCTGCTTCGGGGCAGTGGTCTGCTCAAGACCGTACGCAGCATGTCAATGTCCTGGAGCTACGGGCCGTGCACCTAGCGCTCGCACATTTTCTGCCACACCTGATGGGAAAACATGTTCTTGTCGAGTCGGACAACACCTCTGGCGTGTTTCACATAAATCATCAAGGGCGCACCAGATCTGTGGAGTTGCTACGTGTATCCCACACCCTCCTAACTTGGCCAGAAGAGCTATTTTACGCCATTCCACCATTTCCTCTGATATTGCCAACGCTCCTCCAAGTTCTCCAACAGTGCCACAGACTCTCGCTGGTGGCCCCTCTGTGGCCAGCCAGGGCTTGGATTTCCCTACTACATAACGCCAGAATTCATAGAACCGTAGTTACATACGTAACTTTTTTTTCGTTTTTGTGTGGTTTTAATTTTTTTGTGTGTGCTTGTGAGTTTGTATGCGTGTGTGTACAATGAAGCATGAATAGTTGAACCTACTTACGCCGACTGTCGATGTCACGGTCCTCCGGCTGCAGGTTCACCGTCCAGGACCTTCTGGGTCATCGGTTCTTCCAGGAGCAGCTGGGGGTCCACGTGGATCTGGCCGAGGAGGACAAGGGCTCGAAGGCGGCTCTGAAGCTCTGGCTCAGGATGGACCACAACAAGAAGCTCCATGGGAAGTACAAGGATAACAACGCCATCGAGTTCCTGTTCGAGCTGTACAAAGACATCCCGGAGGAGGTTGCCCAGGAGATGGTAGCCCCGCCCACCTGAACGTGTCAATGACATCATCCCTGGTTGAGGTGGTCTGACCCTTCTCTCGCTCTCTCTCAGGTGGTGCTGGGGTTCTTGTGTGAGGCCGACTACAAGCCGGTTGCCAAGGCGATCAGACATCGGGTGACGGCCGTGAAGCGGGAGCGAGAAAAACAAAGGCGCCGACTGCTGGAGGACACCCAAAAGAAGGAAGCCGAGGAGTCTGTCCCCTGCCCCCGGATACCAGAACCGGCCAATCACAACCAAGCATCTGGCACCAGATCGGCCAATCAAGTGCGTCTAAAAATGATCCCATGGAAACATGACAGATTATATTCTAAGAGTTGCAAATAACTTTTTATCACAAAACTTGAACTCATTTTCACCAATCAACATCATTATAGCTGTAATAAACCAGGTGACGTGTTACTACAATACCTCAAACATTGTTTTTCTGCATATGTGAGACTTTTTTTATGAAGCTATGAATTCAAAGAAAGGAGTTGTCAGTTCAACTTTAACAACCAGCTGGTTAAAAATATTTAACATCTTTACGTTTAAAACTCGCAGCAGGACTCAGTTTTTTCCAGACACCTGAGTCCTTCCTGCATGCAAACCCAGCCCTTAGCAGCAGTGACATCAGCGAGCAGAGAGGATTCTGGGATCAGCATCAGGACCGAAGGAGAACGAGACGAGGAGGCGACGGCCAAACAAACCTCTAACTCCTCCACTACATGTCAGGGTTACTAATATTGTGTTGTCAATCTCTCATCTGTGGATGTCCGTCATTATATTGATTCCTCATGTTATTGTTTTTCACTTGATTATAATCATTTCATTTGTATTCACAATCCTTGTCGGCAGCGGACTTTGAGATGGACGGATCCTTCACCTACACAGGTGTGCCAGGGAAAGTTGAAGCCGCGCCCCCTCCAGCCCCTCACCACGCCCCCATCCACTATGTCCCCGCCCCTGCACCACTGGCCCAGGAAACCACTCAACATCAGGCTCCTCCCCCTATCATCCGGCCTCCACTCAAAGCTCCGCCCCTTCCCGTGCTGCGTTTTCCCAAGGTGGGATGGGGACAAAAGTAGGGAACAGGCTGGGTTAAACTAAAGACGGGCGCTTTTAACATTGATGAATGTAAAATAGAGAAGCGATTCCCAAAGTGTGGGCCGCAGATACTGCAGGTGGGCCGCGAGAGGTCATTTACAATAAATAAATAAAGTTTTTCAATTTTCAATATTTAAAATTTTGAAATTAATATAAAAATGTTCATGATGCGGCACATTCGTTATGTGAAACATTAGTTGATGAAGCACAAACAATTTAAAACGGACAGATTAATAAAACAATAAGGCTCTCGCTCCAAACGGCTGCTCTTGTCCGCCTGTCGTTGTTCAACAAACGCGGCGCCCTCTTGTGGTATTAAAGTCAATATACCGCATTTTCCGCACTACAAGGCTTAAAAGGCTTTAACTTCCTCAAAAAACGACAGTGCCTTATAATCTGGATTCTTATATATGCATCAATTGGTTGATCGGTTGATCCGTACTGGTTGTTCACTCTGCCAAACACGCCAAAGCTCGTCTACGACGGCGAGATGCTGAGCGAGATACGGAGCTGCTTTCAGGGCGCGTCGGAGAAACGAAGCTGTCGTTCTCTCCGAGCGCTTCATGAGACTAAAGAGCGAGAGACGGCGCCCTTTTCTCTACAGTAGCTGAACCGTCTCAACGGGGAACATAAGTTATTCTAAAAGCAGCCGGAGATTTAAGGCGTGGATGGCGAGGGGGGCGGCGTGAGCGGACCCTGAAAGCACCGTCTCCACCTCCCTGTCAGAAAGAACCACAGCGAGCGCGTAGAAAACTCCTTCCAGCGCCAGCAGAGATTCTCCTCGCGAGCAACGAGGCTCACGTTTCGCAAGCGAGCAAATACCTCGCGGAGACGGACTTTTGCTGGCGGATGTTTGATTGTGGTTAAATTCTTCAGGTTATTTAATCATTATGTTTTGATCAGAGTTGTGATTAAAGGTTTGTTGGGGCCGCAAAAGATTTTCAGATTTCAAAGTGGGCCGCGGCGTTCTTGAGTTTGGGAACCGCTGAAATAGAGTAATTAGTCATTATTAATGAATACGTTTTAAATTATTCTAGACCAATCCGATTGTGAAGTGACTTTAAATTGTTGTCCTCCAGAGCATTGCCGTGTCCCACAATGCTGAGCGACAGCCATCGGAGTCTGTTTGTGGCTTTTCTTCACCTATTGAGAGGTAACGCACACCTTCATCTCGTAAACACTTTATCTCATGAATATTTATCTTGTAAACATCTAGTTCTCTTAAAGTCGTCTTGGGTGTCTCTTCACTTCCTGTTTGCAGCAACGCCTCCGACATCACCTCGGGTTTGAGTGACGGCAATGAGGGCCAATCAGAGAGGGGCAATCAGGAAGTTGGAAGTCAGGCGGCGACGAGGCAGATGAGGCGGCGAGCAAAGGCTCGCCTCAGAATCACCGGGGTGACGTGACATCCCGCTCATGTGAGACGTCAATGTGTGCAGCCATGTTTACACATTTAAATCATGCTGCGGTGCGTTCAGGTAACCGACATGGCGGACCGCGTGGTGGAGTGTCAGCTGCAAACCCACAACAGCAAGATGGTGACCTTCAAGTTTGACTTGGACGGAGACAACCCGGAGGACATCGCCTCTGTGATGGTGAGCGGCAGCAGCCAATCAGAGTGCAGCGCAGAGACTCACCATTCTATATAATAATTATAATAATTTACAGTTCTTTCTTCTTTTGCTTTTGTGTATTTTTAATCAAAACTTTATTCAGTCAATTTAAGGTCTGTATGTGTGTATCTGACATATGACACCTGATCTGTGATTATGACGTCAGTAATATAACTCCTTAATAAATATACCGGCTGTGATCTGTGTTCAGATCCACAGAGACTTCATCGTGCCGTTAGAACGGGAAGGGTTCATCCTCCGCATGTATGACATCATCAAGAGAGCGGAGTCTATGATGCTTCGCCAGCAGCCGGGCGGCAGCGCAGCGTCGCCCCACCTTTCCGCCCCCCCTACACTCAGCGACTCTCTTGTAGGCAGCTTGGATTCAATCATCACGGTGTTTGTGTATCTTGATGTTGTGACTGAGAAACTTCTACTGTCTCTACAGGACATGGCGCCATCACGACACATCTCCAGGAGCCCGCCCTCGCTTCCTGGTAAGAAACGATGGTTCTGAGCGAACAGGAAGTAGAATCCATTGAGCGATAAAATGATTCAATATATGTCTGATATGATGATATGTTTCTAGAATAAAATGAATGAACTAACTGAACGACTTTGATAACGTTTCGGTTAGTTGATTATTTGCTCTACAGGAGCAACAGTCCATCTCATAACACTAATACTTGGTGATAGTTAATATCCTCATGTGGGCAAATCTTCTAAAGAAAAGGAATTCAACTTGAAAAAAACTCAAATGAAAGAAAAAAATGTTTTTTCCATCAAACGTTGCAGACCCAGACTCCTCCCCCTTAGAGGGCGGAGACTTTTTCAAACCCTGGGAAACCCCGTGTTGATAATCCCCCCCACTCCCCCTCTCTCTCCAGCTTCCTCCCATCAGCCTGCTGCCCATTACCCCCACGCCGCCCTTTCTCCTGTGTATGACCCTCCCTCTCCCGCTTACACCGCCTACCCCTCCGACGGCTCCACAACCAGCCTCCACCCAGACCAGAGTAGCTCCTCTCCCCTCACCTCCTCCACCTTCTCCTCCTTTACCCCCTCCCTTCCTCCTCACTGGCCGGCCCCCGACCAGCCTATCTTCTCCCTGGCCAATGTGCTCTCTCTGGCCATGAGGGTGGCCCACTCCTTCTTACCCCCCACCGGGACCCTCAACCAGGGCTTTTACCCCCAACCCCCGTCTTCCCCATTCCCTCCTCCCATGTCTCCTTCCATGGGTCCTGAGTTCCTCCCGCCAGGCCATGGCTCCTTTTCTGCTTCCTTCTCCTCCCAGCTGTTCGGCCCCCCTAATCCTGAGCCAGGCTCTGCCCTTCACAGCCAGCTCGGGGCTTTGCCCAGCCAAGTCAACGCACCTGAGGCACAGGTGAGCTTGCTGATTCCTGTAGTCCAGGTAGAACGTTAGAAAAAGCTGGTTTCATTTATTCAAATATGTCCTTCCTTCCCTTCCGCACGTCTTCATCAACTGACTCCTTCACTCACTCACTCCTCGACTCAATCATTTCAGCCTCTTAGCCCCGTTCAGGTAAAGGTTGGCTCAGCTCCGCCCCCTAAAGGTGAGTACCACTGACATCACAAACTGACGTGATATCAGACTGTGACTCACTGATCATTAATCTGATCTGACAGTTCCAGAGACCGTCTGTCCTTCCAGTCCGACCGGTCATCTTGGTCCCGTCCAGGTGCCCCCCACCCAACCGGAAGGTGATGAGATGAGTTTGTTCATCCTTACTTTTACTGGCGCTGTTTGTCCTCTACTCCCCGGTCGAACTCATCGACATCTCACATCTTATTCTTCTGTCTCTCTTCCAGTGAACAAAACCTCAGTCTTAAACGTTGGTCGTTTCCAGGTGACGCCCACAAAAGGCATTCCTACTGTCCGTCTACAGGAGCCACGCCCCCTCCACCATGCCACGCCCACAGCCCACTCCCCACCCCCCTACAGTGTGAACCAATCGGGAAGCTCAGAAAGCAGCGTCACGGGGCTCAGCGAATCAGAGAGCAGCACTGTGGTTAAGGTTTCCGCGCCGGTTCAGATTCAGGGTTTCCATGGTAACCCTCATGGACAGGAGGAGGAGGAGGAGAAGAGGAGGAGGGGGGGTCGAAGACTGAGCATTAACGTCTGGGATGGTATCAGCTCTGACGAATCAGAAAGTGAGAAGGAGGAGATGTGGGCGGAGCTGCGGGAGCTACGCAAAAGGTGATTGATGGAAAAGCTGAAAACAATCTTAAGTAAGGGAATGAGATGAATAAGGTATGAACCCTTTGAACACTAGACACCACGTGGAGGTGCAGAACCTGCAAGCCCATCAGAAGGAAGAGATTGAGGCGCTGTACCTGAGGACAGGTAAAGTCCCGCCCCCTGGCATCTTCTCACCGGCCGCCATTTTGAACCACCGGCAACGGCGCCTCTCCAAGACCGGGACCCATCCTTCTACTCGCAGCAACAGCGTGCAGAGACCAGAGGTGCTGCCCTCTGCAGGTGAGGAGGTCCCGCTGCACAGAAACGAAACAATCAACATTTATTAAAACCTACGACATAATAAGCTTTTATGATTCAGGGATCATGAGAAAGAGCTCGTCTGGATCTCAGGAGAGAGCGGGAAGAGGCGTGACCTTTGCCCCCAAGCACAGCGGTACGATGAGCTCACACAGGTGAGCTGAAGGTGTTCCAGCATGCAGGGCGGTAGCTGACCCCAGAGTGACCTTTGACCTTTCTCCTCCAGCGAGAGAGGAGCTGCAGACTGACGAGACAAAGAAACCAGAAATAAGGATCTTAAACATTTTCTTAACATTTATTTATATATATTTAAAACGTTCTGGAGATTTTTCAAACTTATGCAGGAAAACATATAATATATATATATTATATTATTATATTATGATGAAAGATAAATACATGATTTTTGAGGAAATATATACATTATATAAACATAGAAAAACATTAAAAACGCATTTAAATTCCATCATGATCTGTTTTTATAGATAATATGTATCAGTTCAGTACATGTTTGTGTAATTAACAGTTTATGACAGGTTTATAACCTGTGATGTCTGCTTATTCAGTTTATTATTTAAAGAAGACTTGTTAAACGTGTGAACTACTGTGTGTGATCTATTATTCATTTTATAAAACTATTAAAATGATGCTTTTGTTAAGCATATCTGATAATGTTGATAACATGCTAAACAATACCTATTGCATGTGTGTATAGTGTGTGCGTGTGTGTGAGTGTGTACATGTAAACGTGGTCTTCATCGGTGGTAAGACTTCAGATCCTCCAATGGGAGAGCAGAAGGTTCTGCCTCCTCGTGCTTAAAAGAGTGATGCTGGAAATGTAACCAAACTCAGTAATGCTTCATGCCACGTTCCTCATACCGGGCTAACGGAGTTAGCCGAATCATTTTAGCATAAGATTACAAAAGTCAGGTAACTTAAGCCAGCTGGATAAGCTTGGATCAGAGATCCTATTGATCTTTTATAGGTAGAGTTCTTCCAGACCACCACGATCTATTAGGACATCACGTTCTGTACAGCCTTTCTGGAACCTTACATGGTGAAGACCACACGCTGCAGATGGGCATCCACTGTCCTACAGGCTGTTTTACAGACTGAATGCAAAGTCTCGGCTCTTATGCGAGTTGTATATTTTAGTAGTTTGTTTATTTGGCAATTAAAACACTTGTGGATGTGTTCATTCCTGTTGGGCTCCCACCATAAAACCAAGGCGGACTTCCGAATGCATTTCTGCTGCAGGACATAAATCCCCCGCAGGTTGAATCTCTTCAGCTGCCTCAGGAAGAACAACCTGAGCCTTCTTACTGATCAGCTCCCACGTGAGGAAGTTCTGCCCACGATACATTTAGTGACTTTAGATGAGTAAATACTGCTGCCTAGTGGACAGTCCACACGAGGGAGGACGCGCAGGACATTAGGACATTATTTGTCACTAAGTGCATATTTTGTCTTGTTGTATAACTGCCGTTTGAACAATTTCGAAAGTATGTTGAATTTATGTTTATAAATGTCATGAGAAAAGTACATGTAAATACACATATATGATGTATAAGCGCATACAAAAATGCTCATGACTATTAATTCATATCAATTGGACTCTCTTTGGGCTTGTTTTTATCTACTTGATCTACTGATGAGGCGCTTAAATTCAGCCTGTACATGTAACCAACACTTTAAGGGAAAACCCTGTCAATCCCAGTAAAAAATAAGGAAATTAATAATGATAAATAAATAGCGTTAGATCGGAAATATGTGTTACATACAACATGTATGTTTATTCATGTTTAAATAATATAAAATCAAGAATGTTGTTTTACTTTACTTATTCAAATGCTTTCAGTCACACACTTAATCACGTTGGTATTTGAAGGACTTTGTCAAACAAATGTTTGCTTCTATACGTGGACTCTAAACCCGAGACTCCCGACCAATCAGGAGCCCTGAAAGACTTTCCCTTATATGGACTTCCTGCTACTGAATACACACACCGGAGGGAGAACCTGTGCGGAGTCGCACGTCTGGCTTCACCTCAGGATGGAGGGTCGAGGGATTCTGGTTCTGGTTCTGGTTCTGGCGTCTGTGCATCGTTCAGGTCAGTTTGGTTTGTTTGTTGTTGTTATTGTTTGAATGCTTGAATCTGATCCCACTTCACAGTTTTATTCACAAACAAACTGATTCAAAGAAAAACTTGTTCTGGTTTTTGGAACTTTGGCAACTAAACAACAAACTTTCCTCAGTGTCGCAATTCAAGCACACACACACAGACACACGCACGCACAGACACACGCACGCACACACACACACACACACACACACACGCACGCACAGACACACGCACGCACACACACACACACACACACACACACGCACACACACACACACGCACACACGCGCACACACACACACACACACGCACACACGCACACACACACACACACACACACGCACACACGCGCACACACACACACACACACACACACACACAATGATCATCTGCAACGTGTGTGAGGTCCTCTGTCCTCTCTGCAAGAGTCAAACATGTGGTTGACCATCTTTCTGATGGTTGAGTGGGGGGACGGCCGTCCTCCAATCAGGTTGGCGGTTCGATCCCAGGCCCGGTTGACCAGCATGTCCATGTGTCCTTGCTGGGTTCCTGTAGCTGCGAGTGTGTGGATGTTAGTTACTGATGGACAGCTGTCTCTGGGTGTTGCACAGGTACAGTCCATTCACCCTGCCACACACTGAGGGTCTCAATGCCCTCTGCTTCCAACAGAGACCTCTATTTCTGTGTGTAAGACGCTGTCCTGTCCTCTGAGCGGGACGGACACTCCCTTTGTAGCGGGACAAAGGACGCTTACATGCGTAGAGACGGTGGAGCCCTCTGAGGCGAATTTGTCACTTTGGACGATACAAAATAAAGTGAATGAACCTGCGCTGAACGGTGTGTGTGTGTGTGTGTGTGTGTGCGTGTGCGTGCAGAGGGTGTGCGTTGTTTTGCACGGTTCTACCTGAGTCTGGGTCAGTGTGATGAAGAGCTAGGTGAGGTGGATGAAGAGGACTGCTGTCAAAACCCCCAGTACGGTTACCAGACAACAGACGGCGTGTGTCGTTCCTGTGGGTGAGTACTAGAAACGGACCCCTGATCATTAATGTGAGGACTCACAGGGCTCCTTGTAGTCAAACCAGTAGCACCAGTACATGTTGCTGTGTTCCCAGTTCTCCAGTGTGGTCCCCCTGGTCGCCATGGTCACAGTGCAACGTCCCGTGTGGAGAGGGAGTGATGCAGAGGAACAGGAAGTGCTTCGGTATCGAAGCCTCAGAGTGTGAGAAGCCCAAAGAGAAGGTGGAGATGATCCCCTGCAACGGCACCTGCTGTCAGAGCCCTTGTCCTGGTAACACACACGCACACACGCACACACACGCCCGGACACGCCCGGACACGCACTAATACCCAGCATCCCTTGTGTTCCTGTCTCAGTGGCCGGGGTCTGGTCCAGCTGGTCCAGCTGGTCTCAGTGCTCCTCTTCCTGTATCCCAGAAGACCGAGCTCCCATAAGGTACCGCCGGCGCACCTGTTCTAACCCCGCCCCCTCAACGGACCCGCCCGGCATGGGTTGCCATGGCGACGACAATGAGAATCAAAACTGCAACAACCTGCCTCACTGCCCAGGTTTACCTGTCTGTCCACCTGTCTCAAACGATAACAGACGCCAGGTGTCCTCTAGACGCTTACAGCCGTGTTTCTGTCTCTCGACCAGTGGATGGAGGTTGGGGGTCTTGGTCCCCCTTCTCTTCCTGTCCTGTTACCTGTGGGGTGGGACTTCAGGAGTCATTCAAGAGATGTGACAACCCCGCCCCTAAACATGGCGGCTGGCCATGTCCGGGAGAGGGACGTAGAACCAGGATCTGTTTAACCAACACCCACTGTCCAGGTACAAACCAGGTCCCTGGTCTCTCTGGTGACGCTCACATGTGCAGTAACCCCCTGGTCTCTCGTCTGTCTGTGCCGATGTGAGGGTTCCGGGACAGAGGACGTCCCATATGTGCAAACTGGCCCCTAAGGCAGCTTTGTAATTTGCTGTTGGACTCGTGTGTCTCCCAGTGGATGGCGTGTGGTCCGACTGGTCCCCGTGGGGGAAGTGTACGAGCCCCTTCCCGAACAGGGTCATCCGCTGCAGCAAGACTGGAGGCGGCAGTCAGAGCCGAGAGCGCCGGTGTCTGCACCAGGCTCACAACGGGTCCATCTGCGATGGGGACGGTTTGACAGACACACGGGTCTGCTATGACGTCTCTGCTTGTCACTGTGGGTGATGCGCACACGTGCACACACGTTTGATTCAGTGATCCAGACACCGGCTTCATGTGAGTGTGTGTGTGACACAGTGAAGGGGACCTGGGGCGAATGGGACTCGTGGACTTTGTGTTCTCCACCTTGTGGAGATGGTTCCAGACGCTTCAGGAGGAGACTGTGTAACCTGGACTACAGTGACTACAGGTGAGTCTCATCATCGGCATCAGTCGGTTATTGGGGTCGACGTGTAGCAGTGTTAATGTCGTCGACGAAAACTATGACGAAAATGTTCGTTAGCGAACATTTTTTCCACGACTAAGACGAGACGAAAGCGATAAAAAAAAAAAAAACTGACTAAATCTATTCTAACTTTCGTTAACGAGACGAACATGTTGGTGGTTGACGAAGTCACGATCCTTTTCCCCCTAAATCCGCACGCAGCTGACAGACAGACAGACACGTACGGCAGATATTAATGCGTCATCATGACGTCATCCACCAACCGTCATCACAGCGGTGGTTCTTGTGCACCGACTACGGACCGCGACGACTATTTTACGCTTCGGCGAGTTCGAATGAGACATTGGGACATCTAATGGACAACAGCACTGCAAGCTGGACGATTATGCAGCTGTAGACACAACACAGGGTCCCTGTGCCTGAGAAGGGAAGACAGGAGTTTAATATGGATATTAAATGGGACTAAAACTAGTTACATTTTAGTCTAAAGACTAAATCAAAAATAGCTGCCAAAATTAACGTGTGTGTGTGTGTGTGTGTGTGTGTGTGTGTGTGTGTGTGTGTGTGTGTGTGTGTGTGTAGACCGACCATCGGTCTTAAGAAGGAACCAGCAAACTTCTCCGGGAGACCAAATGAGGACTGCGGCCCGCTGCCCGACGGGGAGAAGAGAACCCAGTTCCAGAACTGTGTCGGCGCTCCTGCCTGCCCGTGACCCCCGAGGCGTTTACAGCGGCGTCGTGACACCGACAATTTAAAGTAGGGCTGTCAAAATATTGTCACGTGTGCGGAGGAACTCGTCCACATGTCAAACAGAAGGCGCTAACGGACCGATGTGTCGCTGCTTCCATCTCAACATCTCAGAAATGAACTAGTAATAACTTCAGAAAGTCTATTTTAGACACTTGTTTAATTGATACTTTTATAAGTTTATAAGTGTTTACAAAAAAAACCTTAAATAGGAATGATTAGTTCATTTATTGACAGCCTGACTTTGAAGTTATACGATAATGTCAAGAGAAATGATGTAATTGTTTACCATGTGTATATTATCTCCAGTGGACTAAATAAAACGGTATCCACTGACCAATGAACAGCCAACCTGCTGCTTTAAGCCTCATGTTTGTTCATAAAGGTCAAGGACTGTTTCACCATGATCAGTCTGCTACATCCACACAGGTCTCACAGTATTCACCGATTCTATACAGGAATACTCGCAGTGCGTAACCGCTGCACTGACTCACTATAAAGACGTAGATACGGATCCCTGGTGTTTAATAAACACGTACATTCCTACACGTAGTCTCTGTCTCGATGACATCACAGTGAGCGAACACACTCCCTAACGGAGGAAGTCCCATCAGTTAGAAGAAGCTCCTCTTCAGATCCACAGAGATCGGACTTGAATTTGTGCTGCTGACCAATCAGAACAGAGCAGACCGCCGATTGGACGAGAGAAGCTATCGTAGCTTGTAATGTGGTTGCATCGGCAGTTAGCCACTGAGCTAACTAGCGCGCTACCTGAAACCCTGATACTGAGATAAACAGGAAACTGATGAGCGTTAGCATATAGCTAACGTGCTAGCAGCTTAGTACTGTAAAGATGGTGATGAAGATCCATGAGAGCTCCAGGACAATCGGTCAGGAGACCTCGAGTTGAGAAGACTGAACTTCAGGGTTGAGTTTCCTGTCTGGATCCAAACGCTTCGCTGACAGTGATGCCAACAATAGTCCAGCTGCCCCGCAATGACATCACGAGAGAGGCGGAGTCCCCACATCCACCGAGTGACTACTAGATGAAAGCCGCCCGGATACGACCGAGTGGAGGCCGCTTATTGGTTCACAGTCCTTCAGTCAGCTGATTGAGTATTTCCAGTTTAAAAACAACGAAAAGAACTAAAAGGAGGAAAAAGTAAAAGACAGAAAACAGTTTCATTAAACTAACGAATAAAGAGCTCACTAGTTACAATTATTATTATTTATGCAATATGCTCCGAGACCAAGATGGCGGTGCTGATCAGAGAGTCAGTTTCTCATTTGACTTCCTGTTTGAGCCTCTTTGGTTCCTCCTCAAGCTACTGGTTGTTGTAGTTTTTATCAAACAGGGTCATAATGATATTGTGATTGTTATGGATATCAGTCAGTAATAATAATAATAATAATAATGTTACGGTTAAAAAATAGTTTAAAAAACAATAGAATTATGTGTTATATAATAATAATAAAAATAACAATTATTATTATATAAAACATTTATTTCAATATACTTTTGTTTTGGTTTCTGGCATTCAAACTTTTTTTCTTGAAACTTATATCTGGGACTCACTTCATCCACTGTATCTGAGGCTCCACGGCTACGTGTTAGAATGGAGCCCGTGGTGGACAGGCTGGACCACAGGTTGGACCTGCTGGACCAGGCACCCCTGGGTTTCCAGTCCTCTCTCCTTCAGGGACGGGCTCACCTCCTCCTCAGAGTCGTAGTAATAAAACTTCCCCAGGTAGGCGATCAGAGGCCTGAAGACAAAGTGAAGGTAAGAATAAATGAACACAACATGAAACATCACGTGACTCTTAGCCAATCAGATCGCTGGGCTAACATTAGCCCATGAGCTAAAAGATAAGAGTTCTCTATGAGACTGGACGTGAGGACGTCATAGGACAGCGGGTCTGACTCACATAGGCATGGGCAGCTCCTGGATGTGGTCTATCCGGACCAGCTGTCTGATGCAGAAGCGACAGAGATGCTGAAGCGTTTTAACGCTGCTGAACCTCGAGACTGGATATAGGAGTTGGACCGGGGTCGGGGGAAGACCTGAAGACAAAGACACACTGTCAGCCAGGTAGAGACAGAGAGGAGGAAACAGATAAACAGGGAGACAGACAGCTGGCTGATTGGTTACCGGGGACTCTGGAGCGCAGGAAGTAGAGGAACTTCCCGTTCTTGGAGTACATGATGGCTCTCTCTATGAACTCCACCACAGAGAGACAGCGGTCCTCCAGCTTAGGATGACACCACAGACTGAATGTCCCTGAGGACACACACAAACTCCCATGAATAGAAATGACCTGATGTGTTACTCTGTACGATTTCACCCCATGTGCTACCATCGGTGTGTGTGTGTACCTCGGTAGTGCTCCATGCGGGTGTGTGTGTGTGTACCTCGGTAGTGCTCCATGCGGGTGTGTGTGTGTGTGTGTACCTCGGTAGTGCTCCATGCGGGTGTGTGTGTGTGTGTGTACCTCGGTAGTGCTCCATGCGAACCGTGTGTTTATGGCACAGCCATAAAATTAGAAAGACCGAGTCTCCTTTGTGCCTAGAAAATGGGAAAGAGTTTCTGTTCCTACACGGATAATGCGCTTCATGTTTGTTGCAATGCTTTTCACTCAGGCTTCCAACAAACTGGCAGCCCCCGTGACCTAGTTTCAATAGACCCCCTCATCTACTCTGTACACTTCTCTCCCATCAAAACACCGTCACAATGTTTCCACTGAAAGACCACCCGCACTCCACGGTCTGGGACACCTGTATCCACAATCGCGGCACGTTGTATGCATTGTCTTCCTCGACAAGGAGGTCTTCAGAACCCCACCACCACCGTCACCAGACCTTGGAACAACACAATAAAATCCCTTCAGACAAATTTCATAGGAGGCTTGGAAATCAC